GCTTGTTGGCAATCTGACAATTTCAAACTATATCTCTTTCAGTGATGAGATTCAAAGGTATTCCAAATAGTGATGCCCATGAAATCTCTAGGTGAAAAGATTTTTTTTAAAATACTATCAATGTATTGGAGTATTTATAAAAAATTTTCAATATAATAAAATTTTTCTTTTTGTTAATAAAGAACTAAAAATTAATTAATTTATTAAGGAAAAAAGAAATTTTATCTAATGATGGGATTTTAAAAGTATTTAGAGTAGTAATACTTTACGAAATCCCTAGGTAAGAAGATTTTTTTTCAATATTACCAATGTATTTGGAATATTTATAGAAAATCTTCAATATAATAAAATTCTTTTTTTTTTCAAAATTTCAATTAAAAATAAAAAACTAAATAAAAGAATTAATAAAATTTGTAAAAAAAATAAAATAAAATGTGTGCATCAACATGGTAACATTCTGTATTGCATGCATGACATAATTTTTTACGAAAAGTAAATTTGAGCCTCAAAGGATGAGATTCTAAGGTATTCCAAGAAGTGATGCCTAAGAAATCTTTAGGTGAGAAAATTTTCTTCTAATGTTACCAACGTACTTGAACATTTTAAGAATTATTTCAATAAAAATGTTCTAATTTATTTTTCTTGAATAAAAATGAAACAATAAATAAAAAATAAAAAATCAAGAAAATTATTTTTTAAACACCGAAAATGAGACTGTTTTTATCAAAATAAAAATATAACACGTAGTTAATTGGTACCGTTTTAAACGGGAGCTATAGGGGTGGTAATCTTTCCTCACACATAATCAACTCCTGAACTCAGATTGTAACGCAGACCCTAAAATTATCCTTTTAATAAATTTTTATTAATTTTAAGATTTCATTAAAATGATATATTTTAATAGGTGATCAATCATACTTAATCAAAAAAAAAAAATTAATGATGACTCTATTTTTTTTAATTCGTTTCCAAATTTTTAGCGAACATAAAATCATTACGACAAATATAACCTGTCATATAATGTCATTTTCCAAAGGCGGACCGTAAGCAAAGCTTGGAGGGGCCTTGCCCCCTAAACATTTTGAATTTCTTATACTATATATACTACAATTATTTCATTTAAATTAAATTAAATGAATAAACTGGCTCATATTAAAATTATTATTTATTAATTTTATTTTTAATTTTTAATTTAAGCTTATGCATTTATAATTTTTAAAAAATAAAATCATATTATAATTTATCTCTTTATTGTACTAATTATTCACAAACCTTTAAAAATAATAAACTTGATACAAATATTAAGTCACACTTATATACACTTAAAAAAAAATTAATTTTCTAGTTTCTTTAAAGATTTTAAATATTCAACCAAGTATTAAAAGTACAATATTTTTTCTTTTAGCCAAACACTTATCTTTTTTTTATAATCGTTTTCAAAATTTTCTATTTGATAAAATTTGAAATGAATTATTTTAAATTTTCAGATTCATTCATTTTCCTTGAAGTATCTTTGTTCAATACATGTACAATAAAAGTGAGAATAAAAGTTAAATAGTTCAAATATATCAAAACAAAATTATTAAATACATACTCTAATCTAACACTCCCGAATTCAAATAACATAACAAATATATATATATATATAGTACAATTATGGTTCACATAATGATTAAGACCTTGTTGATGTTAACTATAAGCTACAAGTACTTTTAAAATTTATAACAGATGAAAATAACACTTTTAATGCTTACATTAAAGCAAGTACAATTATAGTTCACAAAGATTAAGACCATGTAATTTTAACTAGCTACAAATAATTCTTGAAGTTTATTAGAAATTAAAAGAACACTTTTGAATTCATAGTTTAATTTATTTAATTCATACCAATATTTTTAAAATATGATATCTAATAAATTTTTAATTTAAATCTCAACATTTGCAATTTAATAACTAACATTTGCTTCCTTAATAAAAGATTAAATGTTGGGAAACAAATGCATGTCAAGGCTGTTGTATTCATGGCCATTACACAAATTAAGCTGATGTTATTGTTGTTACTATAAGATGCCCACACCCTTGATAGATTATTTACTTAATTAAAAATATACTATATATAATTATTATTCCAATAAGAAAATTATGGAAAAAATGTTTATTTATCCATCTTAGGCTAGGCATATTCTTAGACCATTTGCATAATGGAGTTGCAAAAATGGGCTCTGCCCCCAAAACATATTGGGTTTAGAACTTGGACCCTGTCATCTTAAATCGGCAAATTCTAAGTTTGGATGAATGGTTGAAGACTTTTAGTTAAGATTTGTTAATTTGTGTTTAATGTATATAGGATACGAAAATTATTTTTTACCTAAACAAACATTTAGTTCAATGAATGGTTGGTGTATGGTTTTTTTTTTTTTTCTAAAAACATGGTTTGAATCCCCTATCTCAAATCAAAAAGAGAAAAAAGAAGTTGGAGACTTGGGAAGTTGGAACTATTATCGTTAGTCTCATGGTGAAAAGCATAAGCCCAACCTGAAACTCTAGTGATTATGGAAAATTCATTAATTACATATTCACTCACCCAAGCCCATGGATTAATGGACTCTAGAAATCTGAATCTTATAAATTCTGCTTGTTCTCTAGTTTCAGACAAAGAACAAAGTTCTGACATTACTGGTTGATTACCTTATTCTATCCACAAGATGAAGATATTGTGCTCCCATGCCATTATCTCATTGGCAAGACCATAATTTCTATTTTGATTGGTCCAAATAATTATTCCCCCCCCCCCCCCCAAAAAAAAAAAGAAGAGTATATTCACGTTTCTTCCAAGTTCTTTGCTGCTTGATATTTTTTAATTTTGATGACTAAGTAGAGATATTACAGATTCATAATCAGTCAGAAGGAACAAAAGTTGGTAACAATGGCTACATGTCAGATGGCTAGTGCCAGATCTGGTTTTGTCCTAAAATCAAGTTTGGCACCAAAGACAAGCTCAACTCCAAGGAATAGCATTTCCTTTTCTTCTAAGCATGGCAATAATATTTCAAGAAGGCTAGTGGAGCGCAAATTGAGGGAATCACCCTCCACCCCCACACGAGTTTCTATAAACACCAGGCTATCTGCTGATTGAAGCTAAGAGCTCCAAAGGCTGACCCTCCAATTGACCATGAGGGGTGCTAAGGTAGTGTCTTACAACTACGATAATCTTTCAACTTTTTTTAGTTGGTTGTTGGGTATAATCAATTCACATAAGAGGACTGTAATGGAAAAATTAGGAGTTTTGGGATTGATTGATTGATTGATTTTATTTTTTGCCTTGAATTAGCAAATAGCAAGAAATAAAAAAGGAGGTTTAATCATTCAGTCCTAGAAAAGCAGAAAGAAAGACAGGAAGATTTTGTTCCAGAAGTTCTTGGTTATTCTAGATGATTATGTCGTAGGTTATTATTTTATCTGTACAGCAACTCATGAGTGTCAAGAAGTTGATGCCCCTAACATGCTGAAATCTTTGCTGCTTGCCAAAAGGTTAACAAACTTTTTACCTTCCCCCCTATCCCAGAAAACATGTCTAAACATTCCTGAATTCCTAGAACATAGTGTCAGACATTCCCAAACCAATGTTTGATGACTTTGATATGAAAGAGCTTGGCACTCAGGATACAGAGTCAATCTCTACGATCAAGTCAGCTAATTCATGGCCTCAATCCATCATCTCCCCTCTAAAAACAGTACTAGTGTCATAATGGCTGAAGAATCTGATTTTTTTTGTTAAAGTCAGGTGTGATTCTTCTTTCAAAAAGTATTTTTTCTGAATTATAAATAAATGTTCAATGTGATATTTGAACTTTAAAAATTAATAATGTGATAATTGAATTATAAATTTTACCTAATGTAATACTTGGAATATTACTTGTCTTTTCACATGTTATCATTTGAAACTACTATGTTACAAGTGAATATAACATTAATTAACATATTCATAATTCAGTTATTACATTAACGATTTTTAAAATTCAAGTATCAAATTAAATATTTCATTACATTAAACCTTTTACAATTGCTTCTTTTGCATTGACAGCTTTTACAAAAAGAAAAGAACTACTGTATTTTAGCACTCAGAAGAATCAGAACGAGTTCTCTACTGTATTTGCTCATTAATCTTCGTGCCTTTCACAGGTGAAAATTTTAAGTAAAGAGTCTTACTGGTACAACACTATTGGTTCAGTTGTGGCAGTTGATCAGGTTTTTTTCCTCACTCCCATTTCTTACCAACACATGCAAATTATAGCATAAAACTCATTTAATTCATGTATCCTCTTCGCAATGAACTGAAACAATATCCTCAATGGGAACAGGACCCAAAGACAAGGTATCCAGTTGTGGTTAGATTTAACAAAGTGAACTATGCCAATGTGTCAACCAACAACTATGCATTGGATGAGATTCAAGAGGTTGATTGAAAGAGTAATTGAAACTCAGGAACTTTCTTCTGTTAATACATAAAATTTCTAATATCTTTTCTCATGTTTATAAATGTATTATTCTGGTTGTGATAATTATGTTCATAATCAATTATGATAGTAATTATATATATATATATATATATATTCATCAGTTATGTTTGAATCATTTGGACATGGGCACTTCATTTTAGTCTTCTTTTTTATCTTTTTTTTGTTTTCCTTGATCTCCAGCTTTGAAACATGAAAGAAAATGGTTGACCATGAATAGGCCTATTGCCAAAGCCAGAACAGTGTTCTTCAAAACTGTACAATCTAACTTTCCATTTGGGAACAAAAAAAGTGCTACAAGTTACAAATTTAAGTGCCATTGCAGAACCTATTGAAAAAAAAAAAATTACAGAGGCTACTGCAATGACAGGAAAGGAATTAAAAGAAAAAACAATCCCAAACTATGCATTATTTCATCATGCTACGGACCTCAAAGTCCTTAAACTATGCAAGAAACCTGAAAATTTTACACCTTGAAAAAGCTTAAAAGAACAATTGACTCTGAATTCCAGCAATTTCATTTCCATCCCAATTATCCTTAAACTCTTGACCCATCGAAACCTCAATATCATTCATTTCCAGGAGAACATTATTCTCTAATGAAATCACAGGCCAACAAAAGACTTCCTCTCCTTTATCACCTAAACTTGTTCCCTTAAACCCTTCTGTATTTATTTCTCTTCTCACCACCCTCTCTTCACTTCGGAAAGAACTTCTACTAGAACTTGAAGGGTCTTTCATGATCATGCCAGTTTCTTTGCATGACTTAACCAAATTTCCAGGCAAAGAGGTAAGAGATGGGTACTGATGATCATGAGGCTGTGGCAGGTTGAGTTTAGCAGATTGACCATAGAGTTTTCTAGTTGCTTCATCATAAGCAAGTGCAGCTTCAAATGAAGTATTGAAAGTTCCAAGCCAAAGCCTATTGCCTCTGTTTGGTTCACGAATCTCAGCTACCCATTTGCCCCAGGTCCTTTGCCTTACTCCTTTATATGGGCACACTGCATTTTCTGGACCCCCTTTCCCTCTGTTGCACCCTTTCCTCGATTTCCTTATGGTAGCAGACCTCTTATAATTATGTCTTTCTTTGTACAATTAGCGTTGCCTTCAGCTTCCATATTTGCACTACCAAAAAGCAAAAAACAACACTAATTTAATGGGGGGTTGAAGGCAACTGAATGACTGATGGTGGCAGTTTCAGTTGAGTCAAGAGGGAACTGGGTTGTTGACACGTGTAAAGCAACTGCTTGGCTGTTAGCTTTGCGTGGGATCTAACTGTCCAGATAAGACTAGTGTCAAACTGACAAAAACACTTGTCTTAAATCTTGTAAACTCCTTCACCCTTAAGGAGTTGAATTAATTAGTTTCCCATTTTTTTGAAAGCAAAAAAACAAATTTCCATGTATTTATATTCTTCCAACTTTGAAGAATATGGATTGAGCTTTGAAAGCAGTGGCCTTTCATGCATCATTTGAGCACATGTCCGGGACTGATGATGACGGAAAAAGCCACCTGTTAGCATTATATAGGTTGAGTGGGGTTCTTGTTTCTTCAATGAAAAGAGAAGGGAAATTATTAGGTCCTGGTTTTGAGGAAACATTGGTGAGCCCTAGTTTTGAAATGAGCATGATTTTCAGACTTCATCTTATGTTTGTTTAATACACATATTCATGGAGATGGTTGAAGGTTGTCAGTTGCTTACCTCTTGAGTAAACTGTGGGGGGTAATAATATTGGATCATGCTCTGATACCATTTATACACAGCGACAGGTAGTACGATTAAGGCTCTGACAACTGACACGATTTCAGTTCTGGGTTTTTCGGGTGATAGAGTCCTGACAATACTATCTGATATTATGACAACAGCGTGAAGATCGATCAAATTTGACAAGATAATATTAACCATAAGCTTTCCATAGATCAGACATATAATCAAGATATTCTAGCCGGTGTTCAAGACTCTGGCGCCTTTTTGGCTTAACGTCGAACTGGGGCCTGACTTTTATGGAGATATGTCTTTCACTATAGTAACTTACTATTAGTATGATCTTGAGGCGGTATGACTTTTCTTTAGCTGAGGAAAAAGGATCAATGATTTGTTTAACAGATTAACAAGAGTTTCTGTTGCAGAGGATCCATAATAATATGGCAACTGCAGAGCAGACTCAACTTGTATCACTGCAAACTTTGAATAGATTGAAGAGAAGGATGAAGCTGAAAGATGTAACTATGGAAAGAGAAAGATGGAATCACCAAAAGAGAAGAGAGGTTTTTAGCCAAACATATTTTATAAAGAAAGGTTTTCTTACAAGAGAGAGGTTTGATTTTTCTCGATTGCTAGAGTGATAGATGATTACTTCCTAGAGAAGTATCATTCTATTTATACATGAAAAGTAAAGGACTAGTAGCCTAATAAGACAAGACTAGGACAAAGTAACTTTACAAGTGGCTTAGGATAAGACTAAAGGACGGTGAGTCATAACTAAGGTACAATAACTCATAACTAGGGTACAAAGGTTCATTATTATGGTATAGTGACTCATCACTTAAGGTACAATGACTAAGCACTATGACTCATACTAAAGTACAAAAATACATTATGACTTGACTAAGACATAAAGGTGATGAAGACTTGACATAAGGTTGTCTTGATGTGAAGGCATCATTATCAACTTCTGTGGAGTCTTTTAGAGAAAACTGAAATTAGCACGCGTAATTATACAATATTTGGACTGGAGAGGGAATCTTCTGTCTTGTAGCACCATCAGTATCATCATTCTGGGAAATTTTCAAAGTACTGAAAAAATTAGAGAATCATTTACCCATCTGAAGAGTTCTTGTTCAAAATTATCAGGAGTAGAATCACAACATTGGAATAAGTGATTGTAAATTCTGTGTTCAAATCTTGCTCGAAGTCTGGAGAGATCTTCATCATTCTGCCAGTAAGGATTTGTTGGAAGTTCTATTAATTCTGAAGGACAGTGAAGATCAAAATTAACAAGTCTGTGTGATAAATCACTCCACCAAGTGTCATAAGGTGGTTCAGGAATCCAATGTGCTAGGTGAATATGTAATTCTTGGATGTATTCTAGAGGGTACCACCACCATGGTTCTTTCTTGAAAGGAGGAAGTTCTGCAGGGACTGGGAGGTTGTTGATTTTACAGAGTCTTTTTAATAGGAGCTTGTATTCATGAGCATAGAGAAAGATAGAGTTGTACAGAGAGTAGGGATTACACACATATATGTCTGAACGGGGTTAAAAGAAAATATAATCTTCAGAAAGGTCACAAGGTCGGTGGAAGAAGAAGATAACATGGTAATGAGAGAGAAAGTGTTGGGTGAGAGACAAACCGAAGTATGGAGGGATTTAAACCAACTTTCGAAAAAGGTTCCTAAATGTACATAGAGCTTCCATAAAGGAAGTCATTATTAGTGAACGTGATTGTGGCAAGTTGAGTTCAAAAGAGCTTTACAACTCAAATGGCCATGGGTGTTAGAGTTGGCATAGTACCATTAAAAGACTAAAGGCTTCTTTGATAAACTGAGGATATTGAGGGATCTGAACCAAGTGTAGAAAAGGGATTGAGGATGAAAACCAAATGGGTCCTGAGACATCGATCATGTTTATTTTTTGATGAGGATAGCCTGCATTTTGTAAATGAGATCATGAGGCCGTCTTTCCAGTGGTCCTTTTTGGCAATGATCTGTTGGACTTTCAGAAGGTAGATTGTTGAACTGGAAAATGGTTGAAAATCTGGATCTGGAACAAAGGGTTTGTATTTCGAGGTGTAAAGGTAAGGAAAGAGAAAAAGATTGGTGACCTTTTGAGGAACAGGGTCAAAAGAGGGTAAAGGTAAAGGTAAGGAAGACATCATGCAAAAGACTGAAATAACCTGAAAAATGTTTGAAGGAGGTTTCGAAGGAGGTCTTGTGAGCATGTCTGGGATGAAGTTGTCTTTTCTTTTTATATGCCTGGTGGTGAAGGAGTACTGTGAGAACCACTGGATAGCCTGAGTAACTGTGCATTTGGCATTTTCTTTTTTTTGAAATTGAGCATCTGATCAAAGGCTGACATATCTAATTCCACGAGAAAGTGAAATCCAATAAGGTGAAATTCAAATCTTTGGATACCATACTTTACAGCTAAAATCTCTTTTAGTGTAGAGTGATAATGAAGTTTCGAATCTTTGAATTTTCTGCTTTTGTAATCACAGATATGTCTGGTTCCATCTTTTTCTTCAAGAAGAATTACTGACCAGAACTGTTCACTAGCATCTGTCTGCAATATTCTTTTACCATCTGAAGGAATCTTTAAAGTGAAAAGTGACTTTGCTTTTATCTTCAAGGCTTGTACTACTTTTATCTGAATTTGAGACCACGTGGGAGGTTCTTTTTTGAGCATTTGTCTGAGTGGATATGTGAGTTGAGCAATATCTAAGAGAAATTCATTCATGTAATTGACTATGCCAAAAAATTGCTAGATCTGCTTCTTTGAGAGATTTGCATCAAAAAAATCTGCAAGTGACTGAGCAATATGAGATTGAATAATGTACTGACCATCTTTGAGATGCATGCCTAAGAAATCAATTTCTGTAACACCAATGAGCATCTTTTTCTCTGAAAGTATTATCCCATACTGTTGAACTATGCGCTGGAACTTATCCAATAACTGTGCATGAGATGTATCATCAGGAGAGAACAGTAAGATATCATCAATGTAAATTAAGGCATTATCAAGAATTGGAGCAAATATCTTGGTCATGACTTTTTGAAACAGTGAAGGAGTAACTTTTAAACCAAAAGGCATTACGGTCCACTGGAAGTGGTGTTGAGGAATGTAAAATACCATTTTGTATATGTCCTGTGGATGTATACCTAGTTGCCAAAATCTTGCTTTGAGATCAAACTTTGAGAAGACTTTTGCATTTGCTAAATTTACGAACAAAGTTTTTCTGTCTGGAAGAGCAAACTTATCATCTGCAAGGAAAATGTTAAGAGGCTTGTAGTTGATTATCAATCTGAGTTTTTCACGAACTTGTTCTGAACGTTTGTTGACATAAAACGCTTCACACGCTCATGGAGAAGAGGTTGGTTCAATTAATCCTTGAGCCTGGAGAAGGGAACATTCTTAGATTGCTTGCTTGAAATGATCTGGGTTCATGCCTGAATGACTAGCTTTTGTAGGATTGGCATTTTCATCTTTTTTGAAGGGAAAGGAAATAAAAAATTTAAGGTTTTGCCAAAGTGGGTGATCACATTTCTGGAGAAAATCTGAGTGAGTTTCTGTACATGAAAAGTGAATAAACTTATGTTTAAAATCTTGAAAAACATCTGGTTGAAGGGTAAGGGTAAAGAGGTTGGGAAGGTTTTTCCAAGGTCTGAAATAACTTTCAAACTTGATACCGTTTCCACTAAGCTTTAAACCTGGTATACTGGTAATAATATCAAAACCAATAACAAGGTCTTTTTGAAGAAGTGGAGATCCTAAAATCTTTTGAGTTATTCGACATCCTGGAAAGATTTGAAGGGTAACAGGGTTGCTGACAAAGTCTGTAGAAAATACATTTTCATCAGCGATTTTGAAGAAGGTTTTTTGTTTTATCCAAAAGTGTTTAGGTAAGACAAGGGGGTTTGCTATGGTTTGGGCTGCACCAGTATCAAAGAAAGCTGTGACTGTTATAGGAAGAGAATGTTTGTGAGTGAAAATCTGAACTGGAGCTAAGGGTAATTTTGAAGGTTGAATGGGTTGGATTTTTTAGAGTTCTTAAACTGACATATACTCATAACATTGATCATCCGTGAAATTATCTGAGTATTCTGAATAGTCTGAGTCTGCATACTCATCATCATCAAACTGCTTTATCATAAACAGGGATCTTTCATTCTGCTCATCATTAAGGGAAAAAATTGATTCAAGATCATCATCTGAGAGATTGATACTTGAGATATTGGCAATGTCTTGGATCATCTTGACTGATTTTTTGTCTGACTTTGGGCAGTTCTTTGAGAAATGTCTTGGTTTTCCACAGAGAAAACATTTTGAGCTTTTGATCTTTGGGTCTTTCTTCTTTCTTGCAAATTTGAATCTTTGAAATCTTCTGGGTTTATCAGCATATCTGAAGAATTTTTTGTGTCTGGGTCTGGAGATTTGTGGAGGTCTGAAAGGTCTGAATCTTCTAAAATGCTTCTTTTTCTTGTTGTTGTAAAAACATGTGGGATCTTTGGAGGAACATTTGATTTGTAGTCCTGAGAAAGAGTAAGAACAGGGCTTTTCAAGCTTTTTAGAGTTGTGCACCAAGGTTTTGATGTATTTGTGCTCTTTGCAAATCTTATTAAAGACTTTTAGCATCATCTTGTAGATGTCTCCAAGAGTCATAGATTTGACATCAAGAGATCTGAGATTTAACTGGGTTCTTGTTTGCTGGGCAAGTTCTTCTGGAACAGAATTAAGAAATGCTTGCTTTAAGTTGACATCATCGAATCCACCAAGTATGTAAAAATACTGGAAGAATTATTGATAGTGCCTGTCAAGGTCTTTTGGATGGAAAGAACAGCATTTGAGTCTGAAGAATTGCTCTCTGATCTTTTCTAATCTGTGAGTTTCTTGTCCACAAAAGATTGCTACAAATTGAGAGACAGCGTCTGTGATTGTTGGGCATCGAAGAAACTGGAGTTGTCTGTATTCACCAATGTTGTCCCAAAAATTTTTCAGGGTTCCAACTAGTCTAGAAACAAATCTGATCAAAACTATGTTCATCATAACATTGGGATGAGAATTCAATTCAACAAGTCCCCATGCTAAGAATTCTTGAAATCTTGAGGGCCATTTTAAAGGAAGAACATCATCAATGGTAAAGACTGAGAATTTTGATGTTGAAGGAGGAGCATGTGATTATTGTGGAAGAGGGTGTTGTTCAGCATCCATTGCATCAGGGTTATGGACTTCTGGAGTATCATCTGAAACTTCAACTGTTGGTTCTGTCATGAAAATCTGAGAGAGCATCATTTCATCTGAGTCATCAGTATCATCTGTTTCAACTGATTCATCTGATTTAACAGTATCCATGTGAGATTCATTCTCAAAGGTAGAGGAAAAAATATCTTCAATAGAGAACTGAGGAAGGTTATCTTGTGCCATCTGGTGAAGTATTTCTGGAAGGGTTTGTGTAGGAGAAATCATGAGTTGTACAAGTTTTTGGTTTGGTTGTGGTGTAAGGTTTTGAGGTGTGGAACTTGAGCTTGGGTATGGTTTTGAAGGTTGAGAAAGTGGTTGTTCTGCTACTCTTTTGGGTTTTGGATCAACTGGTTGTTTTTTCTCTAAATATGTGAATCCATTTTTCAGTTGTACCAAAAGGGGGTTGGTCTGGTTGTTCTGAAAGAGGAGTGAAGTATTGTGTTGGTTGTGAGGATGTTGGAATAGATGTTGGGGGAGGTTTATACTAAAAAGGTGTGAAAAAAAGTTTTGGAGGTGAGGTTGGAGGATTGTATGGTTGGAATGGAGGAGGAGTATAGGCTTGATAAGGAGTATCATGCATACCAGTATGATATGGTGTGAAGATGTTGTAACTCGAAGCTACTTGTTGTTGTTGTTGTTTCTGACGAAACTGATTTTGAAGATCTGCAAGTTGAATCTTTAGGCTCTTCATTTCTTTCTCTCTTTCAGTGAAAGCATAAGTGATACCAGTGTTGGTTTCAGCCATGTATCTGAGTTCTTGATCAAGTGTGATTATCCTTGATTGAATTTCAAGAATAATATTCTGGAGATTGATAAGGCTCTGATCAAAGTGTTGACTGACTTGGTCCAACTTATGTTCAATTCTGTGCAAGTAGGAATTTTACTGGAGAGAATTTCAGTTTGCCAGTTTAAAACTGCTTCAGCACGAGAAACACTTTTTTGGTTTCCATATTCATCTCTGTCGGTGGGAGTGGGAATTTTTGGAATGTGTTTGTATTGGTCTTTATAAAATTCTTCAAAATGAGGGAAGGTTGAATTGGGATAGGTTGGTTGCATCATGGAGATTTGTGGTAAAGGTGTGGGTAAAGGTTTGGTGGAAGGTTGGGAGGAATCTGGTTTTTGTGTGGGTTGAGTTGAGTAGGTTTGAGAGGGTGGTTTGTTTTTCTTAGGATAGATGACATAATAGTCCAACTTTCCTGAGGGTTCACCAAGGAGATCAACTTCAGGGTCTCCATTTTCATATCTTTCTTTGAGCTTTTACTGAGAAGACTTTTTCTTCTTTTGCTTCTTTGGAATATCATCATCATCATCATCCAGGAAGCTTTTATCTGCATCGATCTGGCATTCTTTGCATTGACAATTTATGTCACAATAGCAATGTCCTTCTGGAGATTTATATGCATACACGGGATTTCCATTGGACTGAAAGTGTGTGACTGGAACATCAAGGAGATCAACATGACATCTTTACATCATAAACTGGGTTGAAAAGATTGTTGGAGGAGGAACATCCTTTCCTTTACTGTGATCAAATTCAATTGTGACAGTACCATCCTGGTTTATCTTGTATGTTGGATCAAAATGTTCGATTGGCTCATCTTGTTTCCAAATTTTTTGATAACTTGTCGTCCACGTCTTTGAGAGAAGGGTGGCAAGTTCTTCATTGGAAATCTGCTTTGGAATATGAACATGTTTAGGAGTTCTGTCTGCTGTTTCCATTTTAACAAAGACTGCATCACTGGAGTGTGAAAGAGGCAAGTTAATGGCATGATCTTGAACTCTGTATGCCATCTGGTAGTGAAGGGTTGCCTGGAGGCCTTTCATTTCTGTGCCTACGATCTGGACTTGAACTTTTAAAGCATCTAACAGGGTTGGATCATGTAGAGACATATTGTAATTTGGGAAGACTGTGAAGAAAACAGTTCTTGCATTGAGTGTCGTTTCGACGATTCCAAGGACTGCATGCTTGTAATCTTTAAATCTGGTGTCCAATAAGGCCATTCTGGTACAGACAGGAATTTCATGTCTACCATGGAAGGTTAAAGCGATTCTGATAGCACCAAAGTGAATGTGAGTGTATCCTTGTTCTGACCACTGGTGAGGAAATTTTTCTGGGATTTGAAGAGTAACAAAGTGTTCTTGGGGTCCTGTTGGAAGAATACATTGATCAAAGTTTGTGGCTTGAACATATTCTTTTAGAGCTGGATATTTGGGTTTTAAAAGAGTTTTTAAAGATCTGGTAAGAGAATGAGAGGAGTTTGAGAAAGCTATATAAGGATTTACAAGAGGTAAGACTGTTTGTTGGGTTTTCTTTTCTTCTGGAATATAATCTACTTCATATAAGAACTTAAGCTTAGAAGAGGATGACTTTTTAAGTACAGGAGATGGAGGAGAGGACAAACTAAAAGAAGATCTGGAGTAAGATGGTTGAGAACTAGAGTTGCTAAGAGTGGATAGATCCATGAAAGTAAGACTCTCTTTTGGCTTTTCCTTTTCCAATTTTTCAATAATCAAATCTTTAGAAACATACTTTTCTTCTCACTATCTTGGTAAGTTGTTAGGCTCTGATACCATTTATACACAGTGACAGGTAGTACGACCAAGGCTCTGACAACTGACATAGCTTCAGTTCCGGGCTCTCCGGGTGGTAGAGTCCTGACAATACTATCTGGTATTATGACAACAGCGTGAAGATCGATCAAACTTGACAAGATAATACTAACCATAAGCTTTCCATAGATCAGACATATAACCAAGGTATTCTAGCTGATGTTCAAGACTCTGGCGCCTTCTTGGCTTAACGTCGAACTGGGGGCCTGACTTTTATGGAGATATGTCTTTCACTATAGTAACTTACTATTAGTATGATCTTGAGGCGGTATGACTTTTCTTTAGCTGAGAAAAAGGGATCAATGATCTGTTTAACAGATTAACAAGAGTTTTTGTTGCAGAGGATTCATAATAATATGGCAACTGCAGAGCATACTCAACTTGTATCACTGTAAACTTTGAATAGATTGAAGAGAAGGATGAAGCTGAAAGATGTAACTATAGAAAGAGGAAGATGGAATCACCAAAAGAGAAGAGAGGTTTTTAGCCAAACATATTTTATAAAGAAAGGTTTTCTTACAAGAGAGAGGTTTGATTTTTCTCGATTGCTAGAGTGATAGATGATTACTTCCTAGAGAAGTATCATTCTATTTATACATGAAAAAGTAAAGGACTAGTAGCCTAATAAGACAAGACTAGGACAAAGTAACTTTACAAGTGGCTTAGGATAAGACTAAAGGACGGTGAGTCATAACTAAGGTACAATGACTCATAACTAGGGTACAAAGGTTCATTATTATGGTATAGTGACTCATCACTTAAGGTACAGTAACTAAGCACTATGACTCATACTAAAGTACAAAAATACATTATGACTTGACTAAGACATAAAATTGATGAAGACTTGACATAAGGTTGTCTTGATGTGAAATTCACATATTTAAATATTTTATTTTAAATATTTTGTCTAAGACTCGATCTAAAATTTAATTAAACCTAAAATTTGTATTCAAATTTATTTTATAAATTTTAATTTTTTATTTAAATTCTCTAACTTAAATAAACGTTTAAATTTAAATGGATAATCTGATACTTGAACAGATCTACATGTATCTTTGCCACCCCTGTCCTAAAACAGAACTGAAGTAAACTTTTTAAAATTTTTTTCCTTATAAATTATGTATGCCAGTGTGCTTTACATGTACATGACAGAGAGGTTTATGTAGGCTTTTGTGTAATCTCTGCATGACAAACAAATATGATAATTGATGTCAATCTGCCATGGCGCTGTCAATGTGGATACATGCATACTCAGCTTAAGGGATTTTGCAGGACAGATACAATTAGAGGTGCACAAAATTTGTAAAATAATGATGATTAGTACTACTTTTACTAACAACTCTACTAGCCTGTACCTGTATGTAACATCTATCAATAGCATACATTTTACATCTACTAAGTGGATGTATTAGAAAAAAAAATTGTTTTACTTAGGCAAAATTATTCTTAAATTAACTTTTTTTATTAAAAAATTACATGTCATAATTTTTATTTGATCTAAAAATAGTTGTTTTGTTTAAAATGGGGTTGTTAAAAAGATTGAATTGTGTGTAATCAAATTAATAATGATAAAATTCTTTAATTTAGTTCATTTAATTTATATAATCGTTTTTAAGAGATGACATTAATTAATTTTGATGAGTTATAGTTTCTTATTTTATCTTCAAACTACTTTTTTTTTATCAAAAAATTAGTAGCAATAATTACAAATTCAAATAAAAAACATATATTTTTGTATTAGGAAAAAAACTGATTTCGTGTAATAATATATAAAAGGCTTTGGCATTTCAAATAATTAAAGTTCAAGTTAATCAATTTTAAATTATATATATGATAGTCATTGTTTGTCCTATTTTTATCCCTATAAATATTTTTTTATTAAGTAAAAATTTGCTTGTGACAAAAACCAAAATTTTGAAAAATCAACTAAAAATAGGAAGCAATTTGAATAATATTAATTTAATTAAAATTCAGTTGATCTAAAATTTTGTATCCCAAATCTAAATCAAATAAATTCTAGGCCATTCACAAATGAAACAAAGAAAAAAAAATATATAAAGCATGGGCCGGACTAATCTTGCCTAACCCACAAACAAGATCCAGAGCCAGAAGTCCAGCAGCCGCTTTTTCCACAAATTAGAACAAAATTTCTACCGTTGCAGGCCCATTATATATTCCTCCACTCTCGCCTTCCACAAGCTCTAAAACCCTAGCCAAACACTCCACACTGAAGAAACAAAAAAAAAAAAAAAGAATCGTGTTCATTTCAAAGACCTGAAAAACAAAAAGAGGTCCAAAGGCCGTAATTTTGGATCTGGAATCCAAATCGGGATCTATTCCGGGAAGAAATGGCGGCTTCTTCATCGCAGGTGGAATCTCTAGTCTCAATCGCCGAGATTGTTTCTACTCCGTCAACTAAAAAACGGGTCCGGATCTTTCGCGATGAACTCCCTCCCATTATCGCCAATTCAGGTCTCTGATTCTCTTTCTTTTTTTTTTTCATTAATATTAATTATTAGTTGTTTTTTGTTAATGTGATTGTTTCATTTTACTGTTGGAACTGTTGAAGTAAAATTTGTACTTAGATTTATTGGAAATGAAAGGTGTTTCTTTCAGGGGTTGTTGAGGTTTTAGAAGTCAGAATTGGGTTTATGGAATTGAAAATTTTAATATTTTTCTGTAAATGCTAATTTTTGCATACATTGATGTATATGCGTATGTATACTTAGTAGTGTTTACGTGTATAATGGATAAAAAAAATACGAATTCATCAATGAGGTGAATTTGCGTTGTTGTTGTGAATTGTAGCAAATGGGAGTGATTACATGTCGGCACACTTGAGTACTAAGTAGTGTTTGTTTCTTGAGTAATTACTGGATGAATGGTTGCTGAAGTAGGATGGATTAAAGTTTGAGAAGAGTTGAAAATAAAGTTCATGTTCTTGGCTGTCTGTGGATGTGAAATGGATTTAGAGTTATAATTAGAGGGTTTTCGTTTATGAAGCATGATTTCAAAGGTTTGCTGGTATCTAAATCACCTTGCTTGACTGGTTTAACTCGGTTGCAATCTGTGTAAAAAACTGGAAATATTTTATGAATGAATAAGGGACAGAAGAATTTGTAATTTGCATTGACAAAGTAGGCATCTTCTTTCCTGTTGCCTGAAGTAGTAGATCATAATCTTTCTGTGAATTTGTAAACTGATTGGCATTAATAACGAGAAAGGTAGAAAGATGTCTTCTCTGAATTTGAAAGTTTTACTCAGAAATGAAGTTATGATTTTGCTTTTCCCTATTGGAGCTTATATCATGTGCTGCAATCTCAAGAAATTGTGTGCATGTTGAAATGCATTAATTTTGTGAATCGACTGCAAATAAGCTGGGTATACAGCATGATTAATCTTAGATATTTTATCACTTTTAACCTTCACTTTAATGCAACACATGGCCCCCTCTCCCCCTTTCTCTCTCTCTCTGTTTCTGTCTATGTCTCTGTCTGTCTCTCAATAACTGAATATTTGTGCACTCGATGCTGCAAATATAGGGTAAAACCAGAATAAGATGAACTTATTTTGCATGTACATGCATCTACTGACTGGTTGAACCATTACTCATTTTGAACAGATATGTCTCCTGACTTTACATCACTTTTGGTTGATATAATATTTAAAACATTCCAAATATATGATGATGGAGGGTCGAGAAAAGCTGTTAATGATGTGATTGTGAAGGCTTTAGGCGAGGTTACGTTCATGAAAAGTTTTGCAGCGGCACTTGTTCAGGCAATGGAGAAGCAATTGAAGTTCCAATCTCATGTAGGGTGCTATAGTCTACTCAAGTGGTCATGTCTCCTCTTAAGCAGAAGTCAATTTGCCACACTTTCGAGAAATGCATTGTGTAGAGTAGCTGCAGCACAGGCATCTTTGCTTCATATTGTCATGCAAAGATCTTTCCGTGAGCGAAGGGCATGCATAAAAACATTTTTGCATTTATTTTCTCAGGTTTGCTATAACTAACCTTTTCTGGTTTTTAGGATATTGTCCTGCTGGTTACTGCAAAATAAATTTCTTAGATTTTATTGCTTTCTTTTTTTACAGTCACCTGATGTCTACAACATATACATAGAAGAAATAAAGGATGCACGGATTCCATACAAGGATACTCCTGAGTTGCTATTTTTATTACTAGAATTTTCTTCTCCGGTACCATCTAAGTTTGAGCAAAGCAAGGTAGGAGTTATTTGATTTCAGCTTTGTTATTTATGTTGGAATCTCTTTGACTTTTGGGAATCTTCAAGGCTTTTTAGTTTAGTGTTTACTTATATTCACCGAGTTGTATTGAAGGTTTAACATGATTGTTTGCTTTGTACAGCCTATATTTCTTGACATCTATGTTAAAGCTGTTTTAAATGCCAGAGAAAAGCCAACCAAGGGGCTTAGTGAATCTTTTCGTCCACTATTTGCGTGTATGTCACATGAAGATCTCCAAAGTACTGTGATCCCGTCATCAGTGAAAATGCTAAAACGCAACCCTGAGATTGTGTTGGAGTCTGTTGGAATACTATTAAGTTTAGTTGATCTTGATTTAAGTAAGTATGCAATGGAAATTCTTTCTGTCATATTACCACAGGTTCGGCATGCAGAAGATGGAAGAAGGGTTGGGGCATTGGCTATAGTACGCTGTTTAAGCCAAAAGTCTAGTACTCCTGATGCTTTTGAATCAATGTTCAATGCTGTTAAAGCTGTTCTTGGAGGTTTGACCTTCTCCTCTTTTTAAGACATTTATAGATCTCCGTGTGCGGTGTATGACACTTTAAGAGTTAAGACCTTTAGTCAGTAATCTTTTCATGAACTTTAACTCAACTTTCCGTTGCAAGCAGGCTCGGAAGGAAGGCTGGCATTTCCTTACCAAAGAATTGGCATGATCAATGCCCTGCAGGAACTGTCTAATGCTCCTGAAGGAAAATATCTCAACAACCTCGCTCGCATTGTATGCAGCTTTCTTTTAACTTTTTACAAAGATGAAGGTAAGCTATGATGATTCTCTACCTCTTCTGTTTACATATAAAAATTTTAGTTAAGTTTTGTTAGGTGTTGAAAATCCTTTACAGATGATCTTTCTGAATCGTCATCTGTCCTTGCAGGAAATGAAGAGGTCAAGCTAGCAATACTATCAACTATTGCTTCTTGGGCAGCCCGTTTTGCTGATGCAGTTCAACCAGATTTAATTTCTTTTTTTTCCTCTGGCCTCAAGGAGAAGGAGGCTTTAAGAAGGGGTCATCTTCGTTGTTTGCGAGCTATCTGCAAAAACTCTGATGCCCTTTTGCAGGTCAACAACCTTTTTTTTTTGTGTGTGTGAAGCTTGTTCTTGTCATTATTCTTGTTCCATTACCGTGAAGCTTTTGAAATATGAATTTTCAGATGTCAACGTTACTGGGGCCTCTTGTTCAACTCGTAAAAACTGGTTTCACTAAAGCTGTGCAGCGTCTAGATGGCATATATGCATTAAATATTGTTGGGAAGATTGCAGCTGCTGATATCAAAGCAGGTGTTTGTCTTGTTGTAGTTGCAAATGATTGCAGATTAGGATGCCTACAATCTCTTTCCATCCATTATTATTTTCTAGTTCAAACGTTTTATCTCTTTTTTATTCTATTTGTCTTTGCCTTTCCCAGAGGAGACTGTGGCAAAGGAGAAAATTTGGTCCTTGATATCTCAGAATGAGCCCTCACTTGTTGTAATTTCGATGGTAGCTATTGCTAAAACTTTGTTTTTAGAGTTTTTTTTTAATTGGATTATTTTTAACATTTTTTCCTAAAAAGTATCTTTGTTACCTAGGTCTCAAAATTGTCAATTGAAGATTGCATATTATGTGTAGATCTTCTTGAAGTGCTATTGGTGGAACACTCTCGCAGGTTTAAGTCATTTATAATGCACTAATGTCTTGTAATATTTATTTATTTTGGCTTATGACTAAACTTCGTTGAGTTGCCTTCTTTATGCAGAGTGTTGGAAACTTTCTCAGCGAAATTACTGTTACAGGTAGACCAGTGTGCATTGATCTTTTTTTTTTTTTCTGTTACCAATTGAAAGAAAGAAACTTTGATCTTTGCTCCGTGCTAAGGATGAATTCAATATGTGATAATTGATTTTGAATTTTGATGTAGTTATTACTCTTTTTAATGTGCCATTCAAGCTGGGATGTACGTAAAATAACTTATGATGCTACAAGAAAGATAATTGCTGCTGCTCCTCAGTTATCAGAAGATCTTCTGCTTGAGTTCTCAAACTTTCTTTCTCTTGTTGGAGAGAAAATAAGTACCTTGAAGACAAGGTACAAAATGAGTCAGTTCTTTAAGTTTTGGTGTTTTTAATACCATGCACTGATTGTCTATTTTGAATGTGTTTTATAGGTATAAAGACTGTTGTTTTGGATTTTTTCTTACTGGCGAAATTACTTTTATCACCGTCCATTTTATTTTATGGTTATTGTTAATGTTTTTTCTTCTTCTTTATTGAGGCTCTATGTTCTATATTCTGAATTTTGTTTAGCCTTTTATCTGATCTGATGAGAGAAATCTAAATCTGTTTGTTTGTAGTGATGCAGATAATTCTCAAGACACGCAACTTCATATCATTCCATCTGTTGAGGTTTTAGTGAAAGCTTTAGCTGTTATATCATTCACAGCTCTTGCTACAACACCAAGTGTATGTACACGAATTATATTCTGCTCTCATCATCCGTGCATAGTTGGAACTGCAAAAAGAGATGCTGTTTGGCGGGTATACTAATTTTATCTTTTATTGTTTTAGTTTCATGAAGATATTCTGGTTTAGTGGCTTATTTTGTCTTTGTTTTACATTCATCTTTTTTTCCTTAGAGGCTCCATAAATGTTTGAGAACACTTGGCTTTGATGTGATTGGTATTATCTCTGCTAATGTTGGCAATATCTGCAAGGTAAAATCTTTGTTCTTGGGAAATATGTCTTATGTCTTTTTTTTTTGTGGTAATTAACCTTATTAGCACTGCTGTCCAATTACATGCTTCTGTTATGGTCTGTAGTTAACTTTTTTGGGGTAATGTTTTGTAGGGTCTAGTGGGACCAATGGGATTGATGAGTGCCAATCCATTCGAACAAAAGTCTGCAGTATATTCTCTGTGCACTTTGATGTCAATAGCACCTGAAGATAGTTATGCGGAGTTTGAGAAGGTGTTGCATATACTTAGTCAAAGTCAGTTTCTTTTTTTTCTTGGTGCTGATTATTTACGTTAGCTCCCTTCCACTTTGCAGCACCTTATAAACATTCCAGATCACCATTCACATGATATGCTTTCAGAAAATGACATTCAGGTGTGGTTTATAACATTATCTACTTCATTTGTTCTGGTTTCTTGGGTGTAATCTTTCACTATAGTTATGCTATTATCAGTGTTTTGGCTAGTAATTAAGATCAACTGCCACATATATGAAACAGTTGACCAACTTTGGTAGGATTAAACTTTAGATAATGTTTCTTGGATCAGGGTAGGGATGAACCCTGTATAACAATCTTTTAGTGTTTATATTTCTTTTATACATTTCTCTCTCTCTCTCTCTATATATATATATATATATTTATGTGTGTGTGTGTGTCTATATATATATATATATATAATTCTCAGCGAGCTGATATTAGCTACAAAAACAAAACTCTTTCCTCTTTAGGTGGGTGAAAATTTTTGCTAAACAATTATGTTAGCAGCTGTCACCTACTGTCAATTTCTAGTTGCCTTATTTTATGACAAGGATTTAGTTCTCTGCGGTCTATCTTTCCTAGAGACTTGGCATAAGACATTTAAATTGCTATTATGAGCATATTTAGTTGTAATGGTGCATACTTTTAGCATTGGTTTCCTTTGCGTGTGACTTCTAATTGCACCGTTAGATTACATGCATATTGTTTCTACTCTGCTATTTTTTTTTCCTTTCTGTAAACTTTGGCTTTTTTATTACAGAAGAGTGTGTCAAAACGAGATATCTAAGAGGATTGGATGGACAATGTTATGATTATTGAGTTGATCATCTTCTTTTTTACTTTTAGCTTCCCTCTTAACTTGTTTTGGGCCTTAAAGTGCCACATGTACTTGGCTTTGTTAATCCTCATTCTTCTTTTGCTCTCTCAAGGTTTTTGGCTGCAATATGTGCTTCATTCTATATTTCTCAATCAACAAACTTATTTCTCTCACTATCTCCTAATGCATGCTTACTTCAAAGATGGCATAAATTAGTAGGGCTTTAATTTTTTAAGGTTTTTTCGCAACAAAATTTCCATTTTAGTGAGTGGCTACCTGAGGGTAATATTTTTAGCGAGAATGATGGGAAAGTGTGATGATCAAAACTTGGCTTACAATTAGAAGGTGGAGGAATAGTATAAGTCATTAGATCACCCTTTTTGGCGTATTATGTTTTGTGTAGTTTTATGTTCTTGTTCATTGAGTTGTTCTTTTTTATTTTCTTTAAGACTTGATTCTATCATTTTTATGTTGTTTTAGGTTTTCCGGACTCCTGAAGGAATTCTTTCCAATGAGCAAGGTGTTTATGTTGCAGAATCTATTACTTCTAAGAATGCAAAACAAGTTGAGGTCTTGTCTCTCCTTTTCTCTTTGAAAATTGTTCATCTTGGTTTCCTGCGGTCTTTTACATATCTTTACTTTATTAGAACTTTTCATTCATTTATATTATGTTATGTTCTATTACCAGGACCATATCAGTTCCAACCATTCTGGAAAGAGGGAGGTATCTAGTAGAGCAGCCGGTGGTGGTGGGAAAAAGGATAGCGGAAAGTCAACAAAGAAAGCTGGCATGTCAACTTTGCCTTCTGTTTATTGCTTCATAATTTTTATTGCTTAATTCATGTCATAAAATTGTCTGTCATTTAATCCATATAGATAAAGGAAAGACTGCAAAAGAGGAAGCCCGAGAGCAGCTTCTTAGAGAGGAGGCATCCATACGCGAGAAGGTTCGGGAAATACAGAAGAATCTATCATTGATGCTGACTGCTCTGGGGGAGATGGCAGTTGCTAATCCTGTTTTTGCACATAGTCAATTACCTTCCCTGGTTTGTTTCTTGCAAACTGCTCTGTTTTCTGTCCTTCTGTATTTCCTTTTAGGTATGTTTTATAAGCCATTGATGAGAATGTTGCATGGCAGTCTTTCATTTTCTAGCTGCAACCTCCTTTATGGTGGTGAGGTAGGGGTTCCATCAGGTTGCTATCTTAACCGCCACCTGGCACATATTATGAGGGTACAATTTACTTAAGGTTTCTTACATACTTTCCTCAAGTTCTCCAAGTGGTGAACCCTAAACCTAACTTCATTGCTGAGTTAGCAATTTAAAACATGTGATCCATTTTCATTGGGGAACTTTTGGAACAGGAGATAAGAAACCTCACCTATGGTTTTGTTTGTAGTATTATTTCATATTGATTGAGTTTAAAGTTCGTTGTTTGTCTACCTATTAGGTTTGTTCTTAGTATGGTATCGGCACTCAGGTTATTTGTTCCTTCCTTCATTACCCTTATTTGTTGTTCATGTGTTTGGCCCATTTTTCCTATTGTTTTTCATTGGCCCTACATGTGAGGGAGTGATAAGTGGTGTTGTCTCACATTGGTTAAGAAGTTTGTTGCCCTTTATTCAAGTTGAGCCGTCAATTGTTTTACGTTGGATCTTAGCAATTTTGTCTACATATCATGAACTTTTTTTCAATTCTCTAATGCTCAAAAACTGGGATTTGTTTGAGTGATTCTAGTGATGCATGCTATAAAATGCCATGCATTAGAAACCTCTTTGTGAGCTCAGTAAAAATTCCCTTCTCCTCCTAGATCCGGCATAGGCTCATTTGTTTTCCCTAATTTGCCTGTCCTTTTCTCATTTTTTGCATCTCAATTTCAATTTCAATTTGCATTGGCAATAAATTTTTAACTCAACTTGCAGAGGAACTTAGTTTTTATTTATTTTTCGCTCAAAGTGGCATTAAATGCTTGTATTAATCTAATTTTCCTTTGCTGTTAATTTCATATTTGTTTTCCACCAGTTATTTGGTATGGATTTTGTCTTTAGATTTCTTCTGGTTAAGTTCGTGGATCCTTTATTTTTGCAGGTTAAGTTTGTTGATCCTTTATTGCGTTCACCGATTGTTAGTGATGTGGCCTATGATACATCAGTGAAGCTCTCCCGATGTTTAGTTTATCCCCTATGTAATTGGGCCCTCGATATTGCTACTGCTCTACGTTTAATTGTGACTGATGAAGTTCACATTCAGTGGGAGCTAGTTTCTTCTGTGGATGAAGAAGCTGAAGAAAGACCATCTTTGGGTCTTTTTGAGAGAATTGTATACGGATTGTCTGTGTCTTGTAAATCTGGACCTCTTCCTGTAGATTCCTTCACTTTTGTCTTTCCTGTAAGATATCCTACTTTCATGTGTTACTGAATGCTTTCAATGATGCTTCTGTTATTTATTTATCTCATCTATGTTTCTCATCAGATAATGGAACGGATTTTATTATCACCCAAGAGAACAGGACTTCATGATGATGTTCTTCGGATTCTTTATATGCACATGGACCCTCTTCTTCCCCTTCCTAGGCTTCGCATGTTATCGGTTACGCAATCAAACTTTTAGTCTAATTTAGAGATTTATGATTTATAGTCTTTTTTTTTTTTTTTTTAATGGTTTGTTCCTGCTATATCATTCATTTTACTTTTTGCAGGCTCTCTATCATGTTCTAGGTGTTGTTCCAGCTTATCAAGCATCAATTGGGCCTGCATTGAATGAGTTGTGTCTAGGCCTGCAGCCGGATGAAGTAGCATCTGTATGTCCTTAACAAAGTTCCTTATTTTCTGCTACATGCTGATTGAAAATATATGTTATTGAAAATATATGTTCTATGTATTAATTTTATTCTTACAGGCTTTGTATGGAGTGTATGCAAAAGATGTTCATGTTAGAATGGCTTGCTTAAATGCTGTAAAATGCATTCCATGTGTTTCTGGTCGGGCTCTTCCTCAAAACGTTGAAGTTGCAACAAACATTTGGATTGCTCTACATGATCCAGAAAAGGTTTGGTTAGAACTGTTTTCATGAATGTTCAAAATTTTGATTTTTTTGGCTTCCATTTGATGAGTCATTCAGTTCATTATCTCTGTGCTTTCAGTCTATTGCAGAAGCTGCAGAAGATGTATGGGATCGCTATGGATACGAGTTTGGGACTGACTATTCTGGGATTTTCAAGGCACTTTCTCATATAAATTACAATGTGCGCTTGGCTGCGGCAGAGGCATTAGCTACTGCTTTGGATGAAAACCCAGATTCTATACAGGTTTGTTGATATTTGCCTTTCATATTGCTTTCACGTTGTTTTCTGATCTTTTTGGTGATATTTTCAGGAATCTCTTTCTACTCTATTTTCTTTGTATATTCGTGATTCGGGTTTTGGTGAGGAAAATCTTGATGCTGGTTGGCTTGGCCGACAAGGAATAGCACTGGCATTGCATTCTGCAGCTGATGTATTAAGAACAAAAGACCTTCCTGTTGTCATGACATTCCTGATATCACGAGCACTGGTGTGTATTCTTTCCTGATTTTTGGTAATAATTATTTAAGTGTGCTGGCTTTGCTATATAAGCTGGGAATGATTCCTCTTGTATTTTATTGTGTAGGGCTGCAAAATTATTTGTACTTTTAGTTTTTTTCACTAGAAATAAGGATGTTTAACTACTTTGTGAAAATTTGTCGTTGCAGGCTGATCCTAATGCAGATGTTCGTGGAAGAATGATTAATGCTGGTATTATGATTATTGATAGGCATGGAAGAGAGAATGTTTCTTTGCTATTCCCGATTTTCGAAAATTACTTGAATAAGAAGGTTAAACTCTCTTCCAAATTAGAATACTTTCTTTTGAATATGTTCCATTGATTCCATGCTTGCATAATCAAGTGCTGGAGTACCTTGTTTTTCTTCTTCCTGTAGTTTTGCAGAACCTGCTGAGTATTCATGCATAATTTTTCTCTTTGTGTAGGCATCAGATGAAGAAAAATATGATCTGGTTCGTGAAGGTGTGGTTATTTTTACAGGAGCCCTAGCAAAACATTTGGCAAAGGTGCTGATTTTACTGCTTCTCTCTTATAATAAGAAGAACATGGCATTGTTCTAGTTTAGCTCTAAGATCCGTACTTTTGTTAACAGGATGATCCCAAAGTTCATGCTGTCATAGAGAAGCTGTTGGATGTGTTAAACACTCCTTCAGAAGCTGTGCAGCGAGCAGTCTCGACATGCCTATCTCCTCTGATGCAATCAAAGCAAGTATGTGGCACCTGGTGCTAAAAATGGGTTTTTAGGTTTAGAAATAATAACCTATGTGCTTTTTATTTTGTGCTATTATGCATGATAGTTTCTGCTTGAAGATATATGATACTTCTGCAGATTCATCTCCTTGTCAGGATTACTGATCAATTTAATGTTAACATTGCTTGTATAGGATGATGCAGCCGCACTTGTTTCTAAACTGTTGGGTCAGTTGATGAAGAGTGAGAAATATGGTGAACGTCGAGGAGCAGCTTTTGGACTCGCAGGAGTGGTCAAGGGGTTCGGTTTATCATCTTTGAAGAAATATGGGGTTGTGGCTGTATTACGAGAAGGTTTTTCTGATAGGTGTGACTTCCTTTCAACCCTTCAGCTCTTATCACATATATAATGGATGCTATTAAGTTTAATTCAGTTGGGTGAAGTTCCCAAACTTTAATTGCTATTCTATTCTGTCTGCTTTGATTCTTTTTACCTCTCCACCCCCTCCCCAATTAAGATTGCTGATGATGCTTGTTATGAACATTAGTCATATATTTAGTGACTCATTTAGTTCCTTTTCTCATTCTATTTTTTGTTTCTCTTTCTTTTTCATTTTCAATTGCAGAAATTCTGCAAAATCTCGTGAAGGAGCTCTGCTGGCATTTGAGTGCCTTTGTGAATATCTGGGAAGATTATTTGAGCCGTATGTCAACAATCATTAGGGCCTATTTTTTGTTTAATTTCATGTTAGATAGGTCCATCATTGTACAACATTTTATATTTGATTGCATGTGATTTTGATCCAGGTATGTTATTCAGATGTTACCATTGCTTTTGGTTTCTTTCTCTGATCAAGTAATTGCAGTTCGTGAGGCTGCTGAATGTGCAGCTCGTGCTATGATGTCTCAACTGAGTGCACAAGGAGTAAAGCTTGTCCTTCCATCTCTGCTAAAGGTGATGTTTCTGTTTGTTTTCCTCGTTCCCCACTTTCTCTTCAACTACTGATGTAATTTGCTTTATGGTACTGAATGCAAAGCTATTGAAATATATGTTTAAAGGTTAATATCACTTAAGAATCTTGAAAGGTTTATACATTAATTGACAGATAGTTGGAAATTGGAAGATACTCTGTTTAAATTTGCACACTAGTTGGGATGATTATGTACTTTCTTTAGGATACAGTAAATGAGTTGTGTATGCCGGCCATAAACTCTTAGGTATTAATATAAAAGCATGTTTGATGAGCCACAAGCAAGTTCTTATAGGTTTCCTGTTTTAACATCTGTCTGTCTTGTGGTACCTTTTTGTGCATATCTAGGGTCTTGAAGATAAGGCCTGGAGAACGAAGCAAAGTAGTGTACAACTACTTGGTGCCATGGCTTACTGTGCTCCTCAGCAACTCTCTCAGTGCCTTCCTAAAATTGTACCTAAATTGACAGAGGTCATTTCAATATACTTGTTTTTTGTTATTTCAGGTTCTGACTGATTGTACCCTTGGTTTGATACCAATTTTATTTTGACTTTTATATTTCTTTGTTAACTGTAGGTGTTAACAGATACACACCCCAAGGTCCAATCAGCAGCGCAGATGGCCCTTCAGCAGGTTATAGTTTATCCTCTTTTCTAAGCTCTGGCTTCTTTTTACATGAAAATTGTTGAGCTAATATACTTATTCTTTTAGGTTGGAAGTGTAATAAAGAATCCGGAAATATCTTCACTCGTCCCAACTCTTCTAATGGGTCTTACAGATCCCAATGACCATACAAAGTATTCCCTTGATATTCTCCTCCAAGTAAGATTCTGCACCTGAAAATATCAATTTTGATTGTTTTCTCTTTTGTCCTTCTAAACTTATTTTTAATTTTGCAGACAACTTTCATTAATTCAATTGATGCTCCTTCACTTGCATTATTGGTACCAATAGTACATAGAGGTTTAAGGGAGAGGAGTGCTGATACCAAAAAGAAAGCTGCTCAAATAGTTGGAAATATGTGTTCCTTAGTCACAGAGCCCAAGGATATGATTCCTTACATTGGATTGCTCCTTCCTGAAGTGAAAAAGGTGCCTATTCCAAGAAAATTTTAAATTTTAGATTTTTTTTTTTTATTTTTTTTGTGTAAACCCTTAATTCCAGAAGTTCATATGTTGAAAATATGTACAGGTACTTGTAGATCCCATTCCAGAAGTTCGATCAGTTGCAGCTAGGGCCATTGGATCTCTTATAAGAGGAATGGGAGAAGAAAACTTCCCAGATCTTGTCCCATGGTTGTTTGATACACTTAAATCAGACAATAGTAACGTTGAGCGCTCTGGTGCTGCTCAAGGCTTGAGTGAGGTTAGAATTTATCAGTTATTGAATTCTGGCATATATACATTGACTTAAATCTTTGCTTATCCTTCCAATCTCCAAGAATATATGAACCAATTTTATAGGTGTTTCCCATCTCTCCGTTTTTTCCACTACATGCTGTGTTTGGTTATTTTTCATCAGTGTTAGTGGTATTAACATGATGAGGGGATTTACAGATAGGAATAAGGGGATTAATTGGAGGCTGGTCCTAATATGAAGCTTGAGGGATTTAGAGATTTTTAATGGACAGGAATGTCCGAGTTAGATCGAGCTAGAGATCTTGAGTATTCTTTTAGCTGACTCTTGTTTTCACTTTCTCTGTACATTTTCTACTTAACCATATTTTTCTAAAGTTTCATTGATGTATAAGAAGTTGCCATTATTTGTTAAATTGTTTTCTGTGCACTTGTCTACTTGCACGTGTAAGTCTTGTGCCTAACGTGCTCTTTGTAAATTATTACTATTATTTTTCACCAATCAAAAATAGAAAAAAAAAAAATCATAAGTTGAGTAAGCAAGAGATGTTTGCATCTATCTTCAGGTCTTAGCTGCCCTAGGTACCGAGTACTTTGAAAATGTACTTCCTGATATTATTCGAAACTGTTCGCATCAAAAGGCATCTGTACGTGATGGATATTTGACACTTTTCAAGGTAATCTCATCATACCTTTTGATATCTTAGTTTCCCTTGAAGAAATTCTTTTTATTGGATTTTCTTAACAGTTTTCTTTGAAATTTGTTATAGTATTTCCCAAGGTCATTGGGTGTTCAATTCCAGAACTACTTGCAGCTGGTGTTGCCTGCCATCTTAGATGGTATATACTAATTATCTTTTCTGTTCTTCAAATCCTTAGTTGGACCTTCTTTGATAATGATTCTTGGCACAAGTTATTTATAAATCAATTATAATGGCTGCTTATATGATAATAGGTCTTGCGGATGAGAATGAATCTGTGCGGGATGCAGCTCTAGGTGCTGGGCATGTCCTAGTGGAGCATTATGCAACAACGTAAGGATTCTTCTGGTTTTGTTTTTGAAGTTAATTTTGTACTTTATCTAAAAAATCATTAGGATTTGTTCTGGCTTTCTCGAATTATTCTTGGGCATTTTTAAAATGTTAAGTTCATTTTTGAATAATACAACTTTGATGGATAAAGATGGATAAATTGCATGTCTAGTCTCAATGTCATCCACTAGTGACATAATGATGATCTTTTCTGTTTTCTTCTTCATGTCAGGTCGTTACCTCTTCTCCTTCCAGCTGTTGAAGATGGCATCTTTAATGATAATTGGCGAATCAGACAAAGCTCTGTGGAGCTATTAGGAGATCTCCTGTTTAAGGTTTGCATCTTCATCTTTCAGTTCTCCTTGTAATTTTTTGGCAAATCAGCAATTTTGGTTTCCTTGGTCCTTTGGAGATCCAAACCAAGTGACTCTTTCTTACCGCCTAAGAACTCAATGATTTTATTTCTTTACTCTATATCTTATCCAGGTTGCTGGAACTTCTGGGAAAGCTTTACTTGAGGGTGGTAGTGATGATGAAGGTGCTAGTACTGAAGCACATGGACGTGCTATTATTGAGGTTCTGGGAAGGGATAAGCGCAATGAAGTTCTTGCTGCACTATATATGGTTCGAACTGATGTCAGCATTACTGTACGCCAGGTAATTTTCTTCATGTTAGTTATCAAATTCATTAAATGAACTAATGGTGTGACCATTTTGATTACAGTATATTGTAGATAAACTTAAAATTTCCTTCTCCATTTGTCAGGCTGCATTACATGTATGGAAAACTATTGTGGCAAACACCCCAAAGACACTCAAGGAAATAATGCCTGTTTTAATGAATACTCTAATTACTTCACTTGCATCAGCATCCTCTGAAAGGCGGCAGGTTTGTACCTGAGTTGTTCTGCATCCTCTGTTATAATGTTAAGGTTCAGAACTTAAAAATATCCGTCGGTTATATAGGTTGCTGGAAGATCACTGGGAGAACTTGTAAGGAAGCTTGGGGAGAGAGTACTTCCTCTGATCATTCCAATTTTATCCCAGGGATTAAAGGACCCAGATGCTAGTAGAAGACAGGTGAGTCTTTCCTCTTCTCATGATACTGTATTTTACCTTTTATTCTCTGTACTGTTGAGTGTGATCATCCTTTGATCTAAATACACAAAGATATACGGATTCATATAGTATTAAAAACAATTATGGATGAATTATGAAGTAATTATTTGGAATCTATTAGAATGCTATAGTTCTATTAAAATTATAGGAAGCATGAAATATTGATGTATTACATTTTTTTTTATAGCTTTTTCTTTCTTCTCTTTTTGTGTGTCATACTTTTAAGCTTCATTCTGTGAATCTTTTTTTAGTGGGAAGTCCATTGAAGGATATTGTTGTTGTCATCTAATTCCATAACTGAAAATATCATATTGATATCTGTATAAAGACTAGTTTAATGTCTAAGGATTTCATGTGAACTATATGATACGGTTTAAGTGTTGGTTGTTTTGTTAAGCTTCTTTTCTTCTACCTGCTAATAAAATTTCTATATAAGGTACGACATCATTAAGGGTTGGGTAGGGTTGGATTGACAGGCAAGGTTTGTGTAAGAAGGTTCCTCACCTTTGTATTTGTGACATCAGTGCTTTGCCTCTGGGTAATTGTTATTGTTCTGAAGCTGCAATTTTAATTCTTCTTTCTCTGCAGTCTTTCTGTGTGTATGTGTGTTGATTTATGATACTTTTAGTTTTGATGTCTGAAATTACATGGTTGATAGGGTGTATGCATTGGTTTGAGTGAAGTGATGGCGAGTGCTGGTAAGAGTCAGTTATTGAGTTTCATGGATGAGCTTATTCCTACTATTCGTACGGCCCTTTGTGATAGGTTTGTTTCAATCTTGTGTCTGCTAGTGCTTGTTCTCTATCTTTAATTGTTCGAGAAATTATTATGCCTTACTATTTATTCCAACAGTGTTCCTGAGGTTCGTGAGTCAGCAGGCTTAGCATTCAGTACTCTCTACAAGGTACTTTTTTGATCTCTTGTTTCTTTCAAACTTGCTTATATAGCTATATTCGGACAGAATGAACTATAAATTGTCTTGATGCAGAGTGCTGGTATGCAAGCAATTGACGAAATTGTTCCAACATTGCTACATGCTTTGGAGGATGATGAAACTTCTGATACTGCTCTAGATGGTCTCAAACAAATCTTGAGGTTATATTTTACTTCCCTCTGGAGACTATGGTTTTCTATTTCTTGGGCATGGTTTCATATAATTTGCCAGTACTAAATTGCTCTTTCTCGGCAACTTTAGTGTCAGAACTACTGCAGTCTTGCCTCATATTTTGCCTAAGCTGGTTCATCTTCCCCTTTCGTAAGTGCCCACTCTTTTACGTTGTTGATATTTTTCAAAAAAATAAAACTTGCTTTAATAACTCTGCTTGGTTACTGATTCTTTTGCAATTCTGTTCAGTGCCTTCAATGCACATGCTCTTGGAGCTTTAGCTGAGGTTGCAGGGCCTGGCCTTAACTATCACCTTGGTACCGTCCTGCCTGCTTTACTTTCTTCAATGGGTGGTGATGATGTGGTACACACATTTCCTTTTCCTTCCTTCTTTTGTAGTACTCATTTTGAACTTGGAATGTGAACTGAATTTTTGTTCATATTCATTTGTTATTAAGCACATAAGCCTTTTTAATTCAATGACATCTTACTGCCTGCTCATTGCGGATGTTTCAGGATGTTCAACCTCTTGCTAAGGAAGCTGCAGAAACAGTGGTCTTGGTCATTGATGAGGAAGGCATCGAATCATTAATGTCAGAGCTTCTTAGAGGAGTTGGTGATAGTGAGGTTTGTCTGATATGCTGTTAATGGTCACTAAGGCTTGCTCTTTTTGACTGACACAAATGCACTTACATTCTGTGGCTTTCTGTGGTTTCAGGCATCAATTAGAAGAAGTTCATCATATTTGATAGGATACTTCTTCAAAAACAGCAAACTTTATCTAGTTGATGAAAGTCCAAACATGATATCTACCTTGATTATTTTGCTTAGTGATTCAGATTCTGCCACGATTGCAGTATGTTATGAGCTATTCCTTGCCTGTTATTGCCCATCTACATAGTACCTTGCATCTAATGTTTGGTTTATAGGTTGCTTGGGAAGCTTTATCAAGGGTTGTCAACTCAGTTCCAAAAGAGGTACTTCCTTCATATATAAAGTTAGTACGCGATGCTGTATCTACTGCAAGAGATAAGGAGCGTAGAAAAAAGAAGGTGAGTGGTTGCTACTTTCTCATAAGGATGATGATTATCAGATGCAAATGGTCTGTGGAAAACTAACAAATCTGAACATCCTTTTTTTTTTTAATTTACTTGCAGGGAGGCCCTGTTGTTATTCCTGGATTCTCTCTTCCAAAAGCTCTTCAACCTTTGCTTCCCATATTTCTTCAGGTATTCCTGTTTTTCATTTCTCTCCTAAGTGTGTCATCATTACCTCATGTTGATATCCCAAAAATGTCGGATTTTCCTGAAACATGCAATTCTAAATTAGTGCTGGTGAAAATACAATGCTTAATCATCTCTACCTTGTGTTTCAAGCCCATTTCTTTCTTCATCCATGTTTTGTATAGATAAATAAAAGCAATATTTTGACAACAATTTCGGTACCAATTACCGTCATAAATGCCATTTTCAATGGATATTGCAAAATGTTCTATTGTTGTTTCTATCATACAATCATATTACAATTTTTGTCTAAAGCATCTTGAATGTTATTTTTGCATGTTGAGAATCTTTACAGTTGGGATGATGCTTGGAGTTCAATGCAATTGCTAGTTTATGTACACTTTTCTTTTAAGTTCAAGTTTGTTTATATGGTGAATTCAAATGATCAAATTCAGTTGACTGTTTGAAACTTTTTTATACATTAATTAAATATGTTTTTATTTGTTATTATGGCATTTTACTTGATCTCTATTCCTCTGACAAGTCAACATGGTATTAATTTTTTTATTTCTGATTGGATCTGCAGGGTCTGATTAGTGGGTCAGCTGAACTAAGAGAGCAGGCAGCCCTAGGTCTTGGGGAGCTTATTGAAGTGACTAGTGAACAATCACTGAAGGAGTTTGTCATCCCAATAACAGGGTATGTACCGTAGGAAATTGAAAGGTTTAAATAACAAAAAAGGACGTCACAAAGAGAGGTTAGAATAAATGAACCAAAAAAATCGGAATGTGTATAGCACCATTCTTAGCTACTGCTCAGCCTGGCTTGGTTGCCTGATGATACACAAGCCTGGTTTTGAGGCTGTCAATACTTTGAGTCACTGTTATTAAACATGGACCGGTCCGGTAGTTAGACCGGTACCTGGTGACCCAGCTCGGTTTTTTAATGAGATTGTTTCTGTAATTGACCCAAGAAAAGCCAGAGTGGCCCTCAGGATTTATTAAAAAACCGGTGACCCACTGGGTTTGTTATTGACCTGGGTCAATTAAAAATCTTTTAAAAATTATTTTAAAATGCTAACTTACTTAATGTTTGCATGCTAATTAATAATTCTTTTGTCATTTTCACTACAAAAATATTTGTCTTCAAAAAAGTTGAAAATAAAAAATAAAAACTTTACAGGGAACTGAAAGTAAAAAAAAAAATGATGTAAACTTAGCCTTTTTTTCTAATTTTTTAAATGATAATAAATATTTTTAATTCTTATATCATAATTTTTTAAATTATACAATTTGTGGAAAAACTAAGAAATAAAACTGTGTGAAAAACTAAGAGTAAAACTGAATATATATTGAAAAAATGCTCATAAAGAATTATACAAGCACCTTAGGTTTATATACAACTAACTAGTAGGTAAACTAGGAAAATAAATGTTCCTAAAAACTAATCTTATAATTGAGGGATTGTCTATCTTAATTTTTTATCATTGATTCTAGGGATATAAATGTAAATATATAGATTATAAGATTACAATCAGCTGTAAATAAGTGTTTTCCCACACTCCTCCTCAAGTTGGTGAATAGGTGTTTTTCATTCCTAGCTTGAAAATAATTTCTTGAAATGTTGTAGTACTTAGACCTTTAGTCAACACATCTGCAAGTTAACCCTTGGTTGATACATTCGGTGTACAAATCAACTCACTGTCTAATTTCTCCTTTATGAAATGTTGGTTTACTTCAATGTGTTTTGTTCTGTCATGTTGCATAGGATTGAGTGCAATGCTTATTGTAGACTTGTTATCACAGTAGAGTCTTATTGGTCCATCTCACTTGATCTTCAAGTCTTTTAGGATAATCTTTAATCATAGTAGTTCACAAATTCCTTGAGCCATTTCTCTGAACTCTGCTTCAACACTTGATCTTGCCATCACATTCTGTTTTTTACTTCTCCAAGTCACAAGATTACCACCTAGGAAAGTGCAGTAGCCTGAGGTGGATCTTTTATTAGTTACTGAACCTACATAATCAGCATCTATATATGCCTTTAGAACCAGCCCCGAATTTCTTTTGAATAAGATACCTTTCCTAGGATTGGCCTTCAAATAGTGCAATACATGGTAAACAGCTTGTAGGTGCACTTCTTTAGGACTATGCATAAATTGACTTATCACACTCAAAGCATATGCTATATCAGGTGTAGTACGTGAGAGATAAATGAATCTTCTAACTAATTTTTGGTACATCTCTCTATTTACAGCAGCATCTTCATTAGCTTCTCCGAGTTTATGATTAGGATCTTAGGGGTATTTGCAGGTTTACATGCGAGCTTCCCTGTTTTTTTTAGAAGATCCATCACATATTTTTGTTGTGAGATGAATAGCATGCTGTTAGTGAGCTACTTCAATTCCTAGGAAGTATTTTATCTCAAATTCTCTAGCCAAACATTGTTTTAGAGATTCTCTCTTTTTCATCATCTCCAATTCCAATTATATCATCAACAAACACCAATAGAATTGTGACTCTCCCTAAATCAGAGTGCTTGATAAACAATGTGTGATCTCCTTGACTCTGTTTATATCCCATTGCTAGCATCACTTTGGCAAATCTCCTGAACCAAGCCCTAAGAGACTGTTCAAGGTCATATAAATCTTTTTTCAACTTTCATACTTTGTTTGCTTCTAGAGGATCTCCAAATCTCGGTGAAACCTTCATATATATTTCTTCTTCCAAATCACCATGTAGAAAAGCATTCTTTACATCAAATTGTTGAAGTTGCCAATTGTAATTTGCAGCTAATGATAACAAAATCCGAACTATATTCATCTTGGTAACTAGAGCAAAAGTTTCCTAATAATTCACTCCATAAGTTTGAGTGTAACCCTTACCCACTAACTTGGCTTTATACCTTTCAACAGTACTATCCACCTTGTATTTTACGGTGAAAACCAAGTTACACTCAACTGGATTTTTTCCTTTAGGCAACTCTACCAGTTCCCATGTCTTTTTTTTCTGTAAGGCCTTTATTTCTATTTTCATGACTTGCCTTCCATTTCTCACTGGATAATGCCTCGGATAATGTAGTTGGAATAGAAATAGTGTTTAGGCTCACAAGAAAATTTGTGGGATGGTGAGAATTTTTCAAATGATACAAAGTTATAGATTGGGTATAGTGGATGCTTAGTACATTCTCTAGTTCCTTTCTTAATGGCAATAGGTAGATCATAAACTAGTTATAGTTTGAGGAGATTTATGCTTATTTTGAGAAACAGAGTCAAAGACTGTAGTTATCTCATTTTCAGAGTTAGGATTCTTGGACTGGCACTGGTTTAGGATTTGAAACTTTCCTTCTTGAGTACACCTGTAATTCCTTCATAGAATGAAGATCAATATTATCCTTTGTCACATCTTCTGTGTTTGGAATGGGTTCAGACTCAAATTCAGTGTTTGACTTGGACTCAGAAGAAACAGGTTTCGACTTAGAAGAATTAATGGGTGAAAATGTTGAAGAAGAGGATAAATCAAGCAAAAAGACATCTTTATCCTTATCTTTCATGAATGAAGTCTCCCCCTGAAGATAAGGCTAAGTAAAAAATGGTTTGCTTTCTTCAAAAGTAACATCTCAGACACAAAGAATTTTTTGGTAGGAGGATGATAACACTTGTACCCTTTCTGAGTTGATGAATATCCCACAAAAATGCAGTTAGTTGCTTTAGGATCCAATTTCCCCCTATTGTGACTGTGAACATGAACAAATGATCTACAACCAAATATTTTAGGTGTGAGGTTGTTTATGGTATTAAAGTTGGGATAGAACTGTGAAAGTAGTTCCATAGGAGTTTTAAATCCCAAAACCCTTGAAAGTAACTTATTTATAATATGTGTGGCAGTGAGAATAGCTTCCCCCCAGTAGGATTTGGGTACGTTTGCTTGAAAAAGTAAAGCTTGGGTTATGGCTAGTACATGACTATTTTTCCTTTTTGCCACTCCATTTAGCTGTGGAGTATTAACATAAGATGACTCATGGATAATCCTTTCCTTTTGGAAATAGATAGATAAACTCTGGTTGAAATAGTCTCTTGCATTATCAAACCTAAATCTCTTGATTTTCACTCCAAATTGATTTTGGATCATGTTTTGGAAGCTTAAAAACACACTATTCTCATTTGATTTGGATTTAAGTAAAAATATCCAAGAGACCCTCGTACAATCATTTATGAAAGAAACAAACTACCTTGCACCCGAATTATTAGGAATTGTAAAGGGACCCCATATGTTATTATGAATCAAGTAAAAAAGAGTAAAACTTCTTTTATTGCTAACTGAAAAAGACACGACTATGCTTTGCAAGTTCACAAACATCACAATGAAAATTTTTGGCATTTAATCCTTTGAACAAAGAAAGAAGCATGTTTTTCAAAGTTCCAAAAGAAGGATGTCTAAGACAAAAATGATAAAGTCGGATTTTGTTTTTATTGGGAGATTTTTCAAAAAGAAATACAAAGGTAAACTATTCCTGATATTACTTGTGTTGTTTGATGTCTCAAGATAGTATAATGCATCTTTCTCCTTAGCAAGTCCAATCCTCTTTTTCGAACTCTGGTATTGAAATTCACAATAAGAAGGATAAAAAGTCACTTTGCAGTTCATATCTCTGGTAAGTTTTTGTATAGATATCAGACTAGTAAATAATCCAGGAACATGAAGAACATTTTTAAGAACAAATGAGGGATTAATTTGAACATCTCCTAATTCTGCCACTGTAGTAAGTGAACCATCTGCAACAATAATTTTTTTATTACTAGGACACGGTGTATATATACTAGACTTTTGTGAGGAATGTGTCATATGGTTTGTGGCTCTTGAGTCAATGACCCAAGAACTTCATAATAGGCTTAATCGAGATATTTAATCCATGAGAGCCAGAAGCTTTACTTGAACTAGAAACCTTACCCAAGGAACATACCCCAGTAGGCTTTTTTAGGGTTTTCAATAGGCTTTTCAGCTTCTCAATATTTTCTTTATCCAACTTTCCTTGTTTTGAGATATTTGTAGTATTCCAGTGATTTTCCTAGTTGATACTTTCTCAAATTGGGTGGTAGTGATAGCTTTCTTTGAATTGACTCTTAGCAATGAAGGTTAAAGAAGGGAAAAATAAAATGGCTATAAAGGCCTTAACAGGGTTCGGCAATGAAGGCCCAAAATAGAAGTCAACAATGAAGGCTGAAAATTTTGTTTTCCAAGAAGAGCTTAAAGCTCTGATACCATGTGGAAAAAACTAAGAAATAAAACTGTGTGAAAAATTATGAGTAAAACTGAATGTATATTGAAAAACTGCTCATAAAGAATTATACAAGCACCTTAGGTTATATACAACTAACTAGTGGGTAAACTAGGAAACTAAATCTTCCTAAAAATTGATCCTATAATTGAGGGATTGTTTATCCTAATTTTTTTGTGCTTAACTCTAAGGATATAAATACTTAATTCTAGGGGTACAAATATAAATATACAGATTACAAGATTATAATAGCTGTAAATAAGTGATTTCCCACACAATTACATAAAATATTTTAATCTATATATAATTTTATTTATAATATCTTAAAATATTGTAATTAACCAAACATTGACCCTAATGATCCAACAGTTGAACCAATTGACCTGAGACCAGAAGCCTTGAAAGGGTCAACATTCAGTCTGATTCTGATGACTATTCTCTGAGTTTGAGTTGGACCCCTTGGAGTCAATACTTCTATTGGAATAGTTGACCACTATATCTCTATTGGATAGAGAATGAAATTAATATGATTTTTTTTGGCCAAAAAATTAGCATGAATTATGTTTGATCCATTGCCAGTGTATAATTTGATACCTTGACAGTGACCACAACTTGTCTAATTTGATAAGTTGGCAAGTTCTGGTACATTTTGTTGTAGTAATGAAAGTAGAAACAACAATAGAAACACAGAATAGAAGCTAAAATTGATGCAAAACTCAAGCTGAAAAAAAAATATACAGTAGGCGGTAGTTGGTTATAGAACTACTAACTTTCAGTATAATATGGCTGCTTAAAGTGTCTAGAAGACTTTGTACTAGGGTTATAGTAGCTTTATTCCTAGCCCTTGGATACAAATAAGCCCCATCTAATCCTAGCAACTCGAACTCGTTAAAGGATCATACACTTTCCACCAGATCAGTTGAGAAAAATAAAAACATAATCACTTACCATAGACTAAAATAAGATAGCAAACACAGAGAACATGTAAAAAAAAATCAACTTGGTAGAATTTAAGGATGCTTCTACTTCATATTCATATATAACTCTTACAAATATCATACGCAGTCAATAGCCATGCCTATTATCATCTTTCAATGAAATCCCAAGTTTGTTTTTGAGCGTTTTCTTTCTGCTTTCTGTCAAGCTTTTGTTATCTTCTTCAGGCTGTCAATAACACCATGCTTTCTTATATTTGTCATTTACATTATCAAGTTCATTCTTGGTTATGTTGTTCGGAAAATTGAGTGTAAACTGGATTCTGTGAAAGCATACCTAAGTTTGTTGCAATGTCATGTAAAAGGAAAAAAACAATTTATAGCTTTGACCACTACCTCTTGATGTGTGTTGCATAAGGATGTAGGTTAATATTTTGCATATTTAAGGTTACTTCTCATTCAAGATTTGTGAAGTTCTTAAGTTGTTAAAAGTCTCATTTTTCCCTTGGATAAATTCATAATATTCTTTTGCTGACTGCTATTCAGTGTTTTTTCGAGTCTGATGCATATTTGTTTTTCCATTTTTCTTTCTTAACTGCAGGCCTCTTATTCGAATCATAGGTGATCGTTTTCCTTGGCAGGTCAAGAGTGCTATTTTGTCTACATTGAGTGTCATGATCCGAAAGGGTGGGATTGCACTGAAACCTTTTCTTCCTCAGCTACAAACAACATTTATCAAGTGTCTACAAGATAATACAAGGTCCTTTTGAAATCTTTAGTTGCTGTGTCAGTTTATTTACTATAGACAATGTCTATTGTGTTCAACTGTTTCAGTCTGAACTTCATTATTCCATTCTCTTTCCTTTGATTTGCTTTAAATTTTTCTGTTTGATGTTACTCACATAACCTTGCCATATTTATTACCTTTTTTTGTGTGCTTGCTTGTTGCTTTTTTTTTGAATTCTCATGTGTTTGAATGCAGGACTGTCCGGTCAATTGCTGCCCTCGCACTGGGTAAGCTTAGTGCACTAAGTACCAGGGTTGACCCATTAGTCAGTGACCTCCTATCTAGTTTGCAGGTAATTACTAGCATTTGGTCTCTGTATGAGTCATTTATCTTACAATTGGATGAGATAGGTTACTAATAATTGACTGTTCAGGCATCAGATTCTGGAGTAAGGGAGGCCATGTTGACTGCTTTAAAAGGTGTGGTAAAGCATGCTGGTAAGAGTGTGAGCCCAGCTACTAGAACTCGTGTCTACACTCTCCTCAAAGATTTAATTCATCATGATGATGACCAAGTTCGAATGTTTGCTTCAAGCATATTGGGTGTTATATCGCAGGTACTTTGCAGATATTCTTAAGAACCTTTATTAACTACTAGCCTTTTTGTCTCGCTACTAGTCATTATGAGGAACAACCCTGGACCGCGGCATTATTTGCATATTTTGTGTTGCCTTTTGGCCCTATCCGGTGATGAATTCATCACTTGTACAGGTGACTAGTGGAACCAGCTAAAGAGATATGCAATATTTTCCCTGCTATATGTCAGTCTGCTTATTCTGAATCCATTTTGATTTGCTCCGATTGTCTTTTGACTTTTCTTCTAATGGTACTGCAGTATATGGAAGAGTCGCAGCTGTCCGACCTTCTTCAGGAACTTCTAGATCTATCCTCTTCTTCAAACTGGGCTGATCGTCATGGCGCCATTCTTGCATTCTCCTCCTTACTCAGGCATAATCCATCCACCATTTTGACATCTCCGGAGTCCCCATCTATTTCACTGTGTCTCAAAGGCTCCTTGAAAGATGAGAAGGTATTGCAATTCTAAAATATTTTATTCAATAATTGCTTTTCACCATTTTCTGACCCTTTCTTGTGAAAATAGTTTCCACTACGTGAAACATCAACCAAGGCATTGGGGAGGCTTTTACTCTATCAAGTTCAAAGTGATCCCTCTAACTCCGCCGCACTTGTGGATATTCTTTCATCCGTACTTTCAGCATTGCATGATGACTCTAGTGAAGTAAGGAGAAGGGCATTATCTGCTATAAAAGCTGCTGCCAAAGTATGTACGGGAGCTTTAGTTCTTTATGCTGAAAGCATAACTGGCCTATTGTTTTATTTCCATGAGGATATGTGTCACCTAAAATATGTCTAATGTTGTTGCAGTCGAATCCCTCAGCTATCATGGCTCATCTTTCATTGATTGGCCCTGCACTTGCTGAATGTTTAAAGGACAGCAGCACCCCAGTTAGGCTTGCTGCAGAAAGATGTGCTCTCCACAGCTTCCAGTTGACAAAGGGTACTTTTGCCTTTCTATTCCATGTTTTTTGGCTGGTTGCTTCTCCTCAAGCAGCCTTACGATGAATTAAATGCATTCTTCTTACCTGTTTTTCCTCTTCACTTGAGAGTTGGTAGAAACAAGAGCATCATGTTGTACTAACTGATTTATATTTTCTAGGTACCGAAAACGTTCAAACTGCACAAAAATATATCACTGGCTTGGATGCTAGACGCATATCAAAATTTCCTGAACACAGGTACACCAAACTTCTTTTATAACAATTACGTGTACATCTCTCATTCTCGCTTATGCAAATGTGTTCATGTTTTTTTTTTTTTTTTAAATCTTTTAAGTGTGATTCCAAACCGATGGTATCTTAAGCTGTTTGCTGAATATGAAAATGCAGCGACAACAGTGAAGGAAGTGAAGATGACTCAGCGAGCAGCTGAAAATCTGTTTCATCGTTCTAAATATTGCATTCTTTCTTCATCAAGACGACTCATAATGGATGTAACTGGAACTTCAAATAATTGGAAGGGTCTCCAGCCAAAATTTTCCCATGGCATCGGTGTTTTTTCGTATGAAGTACAAATACATACAGAGAAAGAGCCCAAATTTTTGGCATATGGGTTTTTTATAATATCAGTGTAATTGCCACTCCCTAATAATGAGCATGATATAGAAACCACAGGCCTCATGGATGGGAATTAAATTTTCAGGATTATAATTGAGAATAAACCACTTTTGTTTTGATGTGAAATAGGGCCTTCATTTGACTAAATATTGTTATAACGAGAGTTTATTTTTACATATATAGTATTTAGTAAAATGTACTAGTTTCTTCTACTTTTACTATATTTGGATATATTATAAACCCAATTTCTACTGCATATGATATGAACAAGGGCGTATCAATCGAGAAATAGCTTTCGCCCTTTTCCCAATTGATTTAATTTGATACTATTTGAATTATTTGAGAGATGTCTATGGACAAGAAAATCATATTTTTCTGGTTTTGTGCAATGTTGGTGGGCTCAGTCTTGATTGAAGATACAAATGCAGCAGCACCACCACCAATCGGCAACCCGGCTCTGGGAAGAAATCGTCGACCTCCATGGAAATGAGGGAATTGCCTAACCCCTGAATCAAATCATAAAAATAGAGGCTGTGAGAAAACCACGAAATGTCGACTTCCACCCATGAGTTCGCCCAATGCCTAAATAAAAAGGCTTCATTCAGCTCATCGTGTTCTTACTGTATTTGCATGTATCATGGAGCTATATATATATAGAATTATATCAAATGTATAATATAATATATACATCTCCCTTTCATCTATAACATATCAAAAAACAATTAATACCTTCACATTTTGATTTAATCCTTAACTTGTTTTAATTCTTTGAACTTTGTCTGTGTGCATGAAATCTTTTTTTTTTTTTTTTTGACTGGAGAGATGCAAATGTATGATAAATAGTTAGAAACTCAGCTAGGGAAAGGAGCTTTATGAATTGTGAAAGATTTACCCAATTATTAAGTTTTGGCTCATCAAATCAAGAAAGAGCTGTCCTTCTCCATCTTTCAACTTAGCATCACGTCAGATTTTTTGCCCGTTTTGCCTGGTCGCTTGATTTTGAGCCTGTCTCGTCAGGTATCTATCGGGAGGGGGTGTCAAAAGTCTCACATCTTGTGCCTGAGTGTGACTTATATATGCTGTTGGGCTCTCCACCTTATAAGGTAGCTTTTGAGGTTGGATTTTGATCTTTCAACCACCTTAACCTCATAACAAAAGAGAAAAGAAATTAAGCAATAATACCCATTTTATGTTTGCACATGGAATTTGCATTTATAAAAAGATGAACCCTGAGTTTCTTTCAGTCAAGTTGCTGGATTTTAAATATCAGCATACATAATTTTTTTTTTAATATTTCCGAATTATGATCTCCTTTGTGTCAAGAAAGAGTAAGCTAAACTTGAAGAAAATATATATAATATGCCTCTAAGCAAGGATGGATTTATATATTTAATTAAAGCATTCATCGTATTTTTAAAGATTAAAAATTAAAAAAAAAATTTAGACACTTTTAAAATTTTTTATAAATACTCTTTTCGTAGATAAAATTAATAAATTTATTGATAACTTTTTTTATATATATTATAAATATACATTGCATATACGTGTTTGTATAGAGTAAGCAAGCAGCTATCAGCCACACAACGAAAAAAAAAAAGAAAGGGAAACAATGAAAGAAAGCGACAATCTTTAATGGAGAAAATGTGGGAAGAATTAATGGCAACTTTTAGCAAATGTCGTAGATCTGTTGGCAGTTAGTTAATAAGGGAGATTAGAAGATATTAAATGATGAAGCATCCATCCATTTTCAAGTTTGACATCCAAAATTTCAAATCATAGTTTAAGATTTGAAACATTATATTATAGTAAATTCATAGAATCTTTTTCAAGTGGCCAAAGATTGATATATGAAACTAATAGATTAATTAACTATTAGATTAACATGTTATGACAAGAAAACCACTTATATTTTAAAAAATTTCTCCCCCAATGCATAAAAATTTTGCTAATTAACCTTACATTAATAGCTTTTAATATTTGCAAAGAGAGTTTACAATTTTAACGCCATGAAAGCTTAAATTTTTTTTAATTTCTTCAAACTAATCAGCCATAGTTTCCTATTTCGAACATAGTATTTTTTTTTTTTTTTTTGGTGACACTTGAGGCTACTTAAAGTCGGATTGAATTAAAAACTCAATACTCCATCAATAGGTTGCACGAATGTTATCAACTTATAATTTTTTCCTAAAAAAAAATTTTGCCTTTACATTTTTAAAATTTTTACTAGTTAGTCCTTAAATATGATATTAGGATCTAGCCAAATTCATGTCAGTCAATGAATACCAAATTGATTAAATTAATTCGGCATGAATTAACTGATGAATGTTATACATTAAGTAAATGCAAAGTCGAAGTAATTTTGATGCAACAAAAAAAAAATCAGTCCTATAATATTAAATTGCTTTAAAGAGATCACACCCATAATTATTTACCTTTGGTTGGCTCAATTTTTCGTTCTATTAATTAAAACTAGAACATTATTAATTAAAAAACTAATTCAAAAGCTGACCTTTCTTGGGTACCTGATGAAATTCATGAAAGAATTTCTTTATTGAATTGCCCAAATATTATTGGAGAAAAAACTTGATAAATCTCTATGGTAAGCCATCCCTTTCATTCCAGCTTTATTTAGCTAAGAAACCTTGCAATCAATGCATGGACGGCCTCAACTAAATAAGATCTTAAATTCATGGAAAAAGCAATTATGCTAGCCGAGCAAACCGATGGAAGAGACCAGCTGCCCAAAAATGAAAAACATAAACGTAAGAAACTAATGAATTGAAGTTTGTGAAGCTGTGGAAATATATAGTACATGGAAGAATAATCAAATTTAACTTGTCTATTAAAAAATGATGAAAGCAACTCCATATGTTAAAGTCATGAAGTTAAATTATTCAATTAAATAAGTACATTAAGTGGATGTTTGGATGTAACTGTACCTCCAGTGAAGTGTAATTAAGTTTCAATTATTATTAATTGAATTTAAATGTAAATTTCAGTTGAATTTAAATCTACCTTTTGTTTTTAACATGGTCAGCAAGCAGGAGAAAAGAAATATACAGAGAGGCATATAGGTCATGTTGTTATAATATTATTATTATTTTTTTCAGTCAAAACCACAGTTCCAGGTTGGTAGAGTTACGGAGGCCGACAAAAACAAAATTTTCTGTTGAATGAGCAGAGAAGAATTCGAGATTCGAGAATAGAAGCTTTTACAATCTCCATTTAATTTAATCCAACTCGCATATATATATATATATATATATAATTTTATATCATAGTTTTCCAATGTTTTCTCTACGATGCCATTCCCACATGGAGATGAGTGCTTTGTAGCACACTTCAAGGGAATCGATTGCTTCCATTTTACATTATCAAAAAAGGAAAATTACAACCGTAGAAGCCTCCCCAATATGTTGAAATTTCAACAAACAACTCTCTTTTCTTTGCCTTGGGTTTCATCACCACACCTCAAATTCCAAACTCGAGATGCTACTCTTTATTATATTAACTAACACTATCAATAAATTAAACCATGAAGCAGCTGTTCATCATTTGAAAACAATCCCATTTTATTTTATTTTATCTCTTCTAGTATTATTGTCCTATATATATACATTAATACGCTAGTTTCGGTAATGTATTTCGTCTTTGACCAAAAAAAAAAATCAATTATTTTAAAATTAATGGAGATATAATCGATACTAATGACATTAATTAAAGATTTATCATTAAGAAGATAATTAGTAGGTTAAAATTCAGTATTAATTAATATAATATATATGAAAGCAACCAAACTAGATATAAGTTTGTTATGTAAAGGAGTGTTGAAATATAGTAAAATTAATTATACTAGATAGGAATTAAATTTGAGGTATGGGAAAGATGGTAACATTTCATATTCAAATTTGGATACATTATACCTATAGTTAGGTGTGAGGAAATCTTGAGAAGGCAGTGCCATGTGGCGGCTACAAAGGTTAGAGAGGATATATACCAATTGAGTGCTACTTGGAGTTCAAAAGAAGGTAATAAAAGCAAAGGAAATGGAGAGACTGAGAAGTAAAGAAATGCCAAAGAGAGAACAACCGGAAAGTTGGGTGTGTGTATATATGAATTTATGTCAAAAAAAGGAAAAAATAAATGGAAAATAGAAAAGAAAAATATTAATGGTAAAGTATATGGTGGCAGATACAAACATTGAAGGAGTCCTGCAATAAAAAAAGGGGACCTGTTTAGTTGGGTAGGTCTGGGATTTATTAATGCCTTCAAGTCTCTTCCTTCTTTTCTTGTTTCTTTGCTTTTGCTGCAAATTTTATCCTCACAAAAAAATGGGGTTTCAATAGAAAAATAAATATTTTTGTTCATTATATGAAACCAATGCAGGCAATCATGATTTTGATGGTGAAAGAGTAAGGTATAGCCTGGTCTGGCCTGGCCTGTGTTCACTGTTTCAGAGTCAATTAAACCTTCTTCACCAACCTCCCTTCTCTCCCCATTAAAGATAGGGAGACAGAAGAAAAAAAAGTCATTTTCTTTCTTTTCTTTGTTTCTCTAGTTGTTTTGGTGCACTAGTGAAAGAGATCAAGGGAAGAAAGTCTTGTTTGTTTTTAGCAATTGTTTTTTCTAGTAATGGTTTGCTAGAATCACCTTCACTTTCCTCCTTTTTCTCGGGCTTCCCTTTGGCACTGAATGAGATAATGGCTTGTCACATTGTTGCCAAGAAGAGAGGAGTTCCATCTCATCTTCTTCTTCATCTTCATCTTCTTGTTCTTCTCTCTTTCCTTCTAGTCGCGAAATTTGATGTTGTTTCAGGCCTGAATTACACAAAGTATAATAAGCAACTGAGTAGCTTGAGGCTTGAAAGAATTCAAAAACACTTGGAAAAGATTAACAAGCCTGCTCTCATGACCATTGAGGTACATGTATATTTACATCTTTTTCAACTGTGAAAAAGCATTGCCCTACCCCTATTTCTCTCTTTCTTCTTTTTTTTTTTTTTTTTTCCCATGTTAACAATTTTCTCTCATATTTCTCATCGAGTTTCTTGTTTTGATGTTTTCAGAGCCCAGATGGAGATATCATAGATTGTGTCCATAAAAGAAAACAACCAGCTTTAGATCATCCTCTTTTAAAAAGTCACAAGATTCAGGTAAAAGTATCATAAAACTATATCCCTTCTCCTCTTTCTCTTTCTTTCAATATCAAAAGGACTTTATTTATCAGTTTAATTCATGGAAACCTTTCTGTAAATCTAGCCTCGATTCATTTTAACAACACGATAAAAACAACTTATTCTTGAACATATCAAACATGAATTAAAAATAAATTTTGTTTTCGTTAATAATGTAACAGAGAGCTCCATCAGAGATGCCAAAGGTGAAAATGTTGAAACCAGATGAGGCAAGAGGTTCAAGGAGTAATGAGGCAGGTGTAAAGGGTAGTGCATGGCAAATGTGGCATAGGAATGGGACAAGATGTCCAAAAGGAACGGTTCCCATACGCCGAAGCTCAATGCAGGATGTTCTCAGAGCTAAGTCTTTGTTTGACTTTGGTAAGAAACAACATGGATTCATCAACCCTACTCGCCGTACCGATGCACCGGATGTTGTTAGCGGCAACGGACACGAAGTACGTTATTTATTTTTTATCATAAATTTAAATTAATATTTCTTTTCATAAAAATTAACATAAAAAATATTTCTTAAAAATGACGGTAAAGTTTTTCGAAGATTATATTTTGATTAAAAGTTACATAATTTAAAAAAAATTATTAATAAATTCATAATTTAAAATTTATATTTTAAAATTACGATTTTCATTAAAAAAAAAACCGTCTGTGTTTTGCTTTTTTTTTTTTTTTTTAATCTAGTGACCTAAAATTCTCAAATTATTGGATAGAATTTTTAATATGAAAGTGAAAGGGCTGTAATTGACGTCCGCAAATCAACTCTAAAATAAAAAAAAAATTTAAAAATTAAGTCAAAATTGTTAAATTATTAATTCCTTTAATACCCTAAAGGGCCCCATGAATTTGTGAAATATCCATATGGTAAATAAATATAAAATCAAAGCCATTTTAATTTGTAATACTTATTTTTCAAAAGGGCCTACAAACTTAAATTCTTCGGAATAGTATTTTTCTCCTTTGATAACTCGTTTTCATGAATAAAAGTCGATAACTAACCAGAATTCGATGGTGACTGATGCATGTGCACGATTTGTAGCATGCGATTGCATATACCGGAACATCCCAAGAGGTTTATGGAGCAAAGGCAACTATTAGCGTGTGGGACCCGTCAATCCAAGAGGTCAACGAGTTCAGTCTATCACAGATTTGGATTCTTTCAGGAGCATTCGACGGCACTGATCTCAACAGTATTGAAGCTGGATGGCAGGTACTCCTACCATTTCCTGTCCCTCGCATGCACATAATTCCACACCTTTTTTTTTTATTATTATTATCTTCTCTCAATTAAATAATAAACAAAAATAATTATACATTCACTTCAAGATTCTGCTTTCAACGTGAAAAAAATTTAAATTAAACATTTGTCAATAAATTAAAATAATTTGAAATCTAAATACTCAATATATACAATTAAAATTGATCTAACAATTTATGTATTAATATCATATAAAATATTAAATTCGTGTATTTATATCATGTTTTATATAAAAATTATATATTATAATTTATATTAATACGAAGATATAAAATATATTTTTTAATTTTATTAAATTCATATATAATTATTTTTAAAATTTTAAATAATATCATTTTTTTTATTCGTATCGTTTTCTTGTCATATCATATTATAAATTGTCAAATTTAATTATAACTCTTATGATATAATAAAAAAATGAAAGAATTTGCCATTAGAGTTTTTGAAGTTTTGATTATTCTACTAGTCAGGTCAGTCCGGAGCTTTATGGTGACAGCAGGCCAAGATTGTTCACTTATTGGACGGTGAGTTTTCTATAATTCTACTTTTATAATTAATTTTTTTACTAATCATATTTTTATTTTATGGTTCAAATGGTTTATATATATTAATTAATTATATTATATCATATGTATGAAAATTAACCATGTGGAATTATTATGTGCACATGCATATGGTTAGACCTATCTTGAATCAATATGTATGTTCATAATGCAATAAGTTTCTTTTTTATATATATTTAATTCAGAATTTAAATTTGATTATTAAAATTAAGAATTCAATATTTTAATAACATATCATACGACTGGTGGCATGACGTACGCATGTTGCATCATTGATTTAATTTGTTTGAAGCTCAAGTAATCAATTTGTAGGAATGATTAATCAAAAAAGTTGTCTCGACTATAATAAAAGACCAATTATTACTTTTAAAGATGTTCTTAAAGCTGGTTAGTTAACCGTTCTTTGAAGCTAAAATTCAATGAAACCCAAATGAAAAACAACCATGCAATAATTCAATGAAACCTACCCACAATGGCTCCATTATTGCATCTTTTAAATTAACTTTTGTCGAATGACATTCTTCCAAACATTTTTTACTTAAAATGTTTTAAATATATATGTTGTAATAAAAAGAAAATCTTGTAAAAGAATGTGAAGGTTGGTAGCCTTCAAGGAAAAGTAGATAGAAAAAGAACAATTTGTCAAGAGTAAAATCAACTGTTAGTACTTTACCTTTTAGTGCCATTCATAACTATCTTGGGAGAAAATGTTGAAATGCTTGATTTTTGCTTCCCAACAAATTTTTTTATTATGTCTACAAGTTAAAGATAACTTCATTTATTTGATGGAATTTGGCATTTATTTCTCAAGGGGATTGGAGATTTCACATGTAAGTTATTACTTTCATATAATGAAGTGAAAATTAATTAATATTCTTATTCATTATCTTGAACATTTTTATGATAAGTAGATTGGAATATTTTATTGTCATTGAATGTCATGTAAGTTAATTATTACTTTCATATAATGAGGTGAACATTAGTAATATAGGGATAGAAAAAAAATTACGGAATTGTATAAATCAATTAAATTAAGTATTAAGTGAAAACGTAAGAATATTAACATAAGTAATATTCTTATTGATCATTAATTAATTAGTATTCTTATTGATTATGTATGATGGATGGATTTTTTTATTTTAATTTTATGGTTTTTTGTTGGTGGCATTTTAAACATTAATCAGGGCTAGGAAATATTCTAAAAATGTTAAATAACACCTTACTTCAATGCAGTACTTCTGATTTTTATTTTTAGGTTTTGAAATGAAAAAGATTAATACACTTGTTGGAATTATTTCTGCAATTTATTAACTAGATTCTTTTTTTTTTTCTTTACAGACTGATTCCTATCAAGCAACTGGATGCTACAACCTTTTATGTGCAGGCTTTGTCCAAACAAATAGTAGAATTGCCATTGGAGCTGCCATTTCTCCTGTCTCACAATATGGTGCAAATCAATATGACATTACCATCCTCATTTGGAAGGTAAATAACTATATACTTAACATTTATTAAAATTCAATTCAACTACAAATGTTGGTGCAACAAATTAATATATTTCATTATATAACTTGAAGTAATTTTTTCTGTTTTCAATTGCAGGATCCTAAGATAGGAAATTGGTGGATGGGATTTGGTGACAATACCTTGGTAGGTTATTGGCCAGCAGAGCTATTTACTCACCTAGCAGACCATGCCACCATGGTGGAATGGGGTGGTGAAGTGGTGAACTCAAGGGCCAACGGCAAGCACACGTCGACGCAGATGGGCTCTGGTCACTTTGCCGAAAACGGGTTCGGAAAATCAAGCTATTTCCGGAACCTAGAGGTCGTTGATGCTGATAACAGCTTGAGTTCTGTCCATGATATCTCAACCCTAGCTGAGAATACAAATTGTTACAACATCAAAAGTTCCTACAGCACTGAATGGGGCACATATTTCTACTATGGAGGGCCTGGAAACAATCCTCGGTGCCCTTGATCATTAGTTCCACCGTTGCCATCGTCGTCATCGTCAATATTATTGCAAGATATAATTTCTAAGATGGCTTAAAAATTGGTAGTGTCAAAATTCTTTAGTAGTGTAATTATTGAATTATGCTATTTCCAATCTTGTTTTTGCTAATTTTACAATTTTTGTTGGTGTTGTGATGAAGGAATGTGTATCATTAGTAAAATAAGACGAAGGCAAATTTGCATAAACAGGCATGGAAATAGCAGTATTTTGGGAATAGTGTATGGCTTAATGTGAAAATTTCGTTGATTGTAACATGTGTAGTACAATTTCAGTATTGTAGACTCAAACATTACTTGGCTAAGCAAAAGTTTATGTTTTTTTAGTAAAATAATTACTTCTTAAAACTTGAATTTTAATTTAATTAATTCATGAAATTATCTTAAGAAATAACATTCAATAAATTTATAATTTAAATTCCAATGTAACAAAAAAAATTACTTCTTAAATGTTCTTTTACTTTTACAAGATATTGCAATTTACAAGTAAAAATCTAAAGATTGGTTAGCAGAATCCTAATTATATTTAAGAATTATTAAAAATTTTTAATTTCAAATTTGACAAAGAGTTAGGAGGCCATCATTAAAAACCAAGTTCAAGAAAAAGAAAAAAATTAATGTTCTACCAAAGAATATAAAAGCAGGCAGCATATTTATTGTAGGCAGAAACAAAACAAGCTTATTTGCAAGTCAAAAGGATGAGCTATTCAATGTTCATGTTGGAAAATGAGCCTTTCCACCACCTATAATTTTGTTCTTCAAAAGAAAAAAAAAAAAAACAAACTCTTCAGCTACTTAAATAAAAAAAAAATAATGAAGAGGATATCTTCCATAAATCAAAACTCTTTAAATGATGTAAAAAAAAAAATTTATTCAATTTGAAATGAAAATTTTAAAATCTAGTAGCTTTTAAGGCCCTTTTACTTCGATTCTTCAGCTCCCTTCAAGAAAAAGAGATTCCGATCTCACGGTAAAGAAAGTAGTTGATGAGCTTAGAGGATGGTTTCTCATATATGGGCCTTACATAGGCTTAGATTATAGTTTAATCAGGGCTTTCAACCCATTAAAATTTTAATTTTCAAGAACTCCCTGCAACTTGGCAATGTCACAACCCAAGAAAGTTGAACCCAACTCAAAAATCCTTTTATATTTTCTGCAATTGAAGTTTGTAAAAATCAATATTCTATATATATATTTCTATTGAACTAGGAAACCTGTTTTGGGGAATCCTACTGCAATTTAAGTACTTAGTTGTACTAATAGGACTTGTAACAAAGATTTCCATGGTCTGTAGCCTGTGGCTGTGATCAGGTAACCCTTCCAGGATCAGAATAATTTTGTTTAAGAAGAAAAAGGGAGATATGTCGTTTCATAAAAAGCTACAGGAGGTTGACGATGGTTCCTTTGATGAACTATTGAAAAAGATTGAACAGCAAACGGAGGATAAAGCTGAAAGGGAGAAGCTGTTGACAGAGATCGTCTTGCAAAATTTCATGAGGAGATGTGCTCTGAATTCCCAGAAAGGCAGGGAAAACTTGAAGCCATCGTCAGGAACAGATCTAATCCCGGAAAAGTTGAAGAGTTATATAGAAAACATACAAGCTTCTGAGCCAATGTTCGTTATAGAAAAGAGACTGACTAATTCTGATTTGAATGAGACGTCTCAGGGTCGTCTGTCAATACCAGAAAGCAAAATCAATGCTGATCAGTTCCTTGGAAAACAAGAAATTGAAAAGCTTAATAAAGATGGAGCGCTGCCAGTTACGTTGATAGAAATTGGAACTGATCCTGTTGTGGAAACCAATCTGAGGTTGAAAAAGTGGAAGACAAATTATGGATTGACTGAAAAGTGGAATGTAGTTAAGAGAAGGAATGAAGAGAAATTCAAAAGTGTTGATGGGGTTAATGCTGTCATTCAATTATGGTCTTTCCGACACAAATCAAGGCTATATTTTGCACTCAATGTAGTTGAAGAAGAAGCAAAAACTGGGGTTGCAATTACGAATGGAAACAATGGTGGTGGTTCAAGTAGCAGCCTCAACAAATCTAACACCGCTTAGTGCTAGAGTGCTAGTAGCGGGTTAAAGAATTTTTTCAGAAGTATTCACTTATAATATATATAAAAAAACTAGGATGAATTTATCAAATTTATTGACTTAAAAGTGTCTGGGGAAAATTTTGAAGGTGCGAGGGTTTTAAGACTGTTTAGTTTTTTGTATTTTAAAATATTGTGCTAAAGAGTTTACTTGGGGTGGGTGTTTAAGACTGCATTGCTCTTATGGATGTATTTCTCCAAATATTTATGGGATATAAATAGGTATTATTAGGCATAGTAGCATATGGATTCCTCATAAGGGATTTGGAAGCACTGATTTTTTTTTTTTTTTTTTATAATTGAGAGATTGTCAGGGATTGAACTATGATCATTGAAATTAAGAATCTAGTACTTTGCTACCAACAGATGGTTGGCTGTTGACAACTCCTTCCTTTTCTAGTCTAAATAAACTAATGCTGTTGTAGGGTGATAGAGTTGAATGAAGTTAGCTTTAGCGCTTTTCGACGTTGCTCTAAGGTTAATCCTATGCTTTACGACGTTACTCAAACTTAAATGTCTTATCTGCAGTGCGTTCCTTCTTTGTTTCTTCCAATGGCTTTTGAATTTCAGATTGAATTCTCCAAAGTCCAAATTGAGGTAAGATCATTAAATGAGCAAAATGTTTTCGAGCCTGATCATGAGTCATGACTCAGAACCATTTGCTACACCTAGCTTCTGTTGGATCAGAATGGCAATTCAGGATTTGAACTTGATAGAAATTAAATTCAAATCTGATTGCCCGTGTTAAATTTTAAGGATTACCTGCCAATGTAATGGAACAAGGACAAATTTCCAGTCTAGATTTAACATTCTGTGATCATTTGAACCTGTAGCACTATTCTTCTACTATTTTATCAGCCAATCTGGGAAGTAAAGATGGTAGGATCAGATCAGATCATATATATCTAGTCTCAATTCAATATTTGGATAATTCCTGGGTCAGGATCGACACAGAATCTCAAATCCATACATGTCTTTCCCTGGTCCCCTCCCCCAAATCCCCCTCACTTTCCTCCTTTCCAAAACAAATGGCTAGTTCATAAAAAACAAATTTATAATTGGTAGAAGACAATTTTTGACCTAAAGATGTTTCATCATGTTCAAAGTACATTAGAGAGCAAAGGACACGAAGCATTATTCATTTTGGAATGGAAAAAGTGATAATGACAGCTAAAAACTTCAATTTATTTTAAAACTATATCACATGCATGTCCAGCTTTCTCTGTCATTTAATCTTATTGCTAATTTCTGGTGTTCACATTCTTTCCTGTAAATCAAAATTGCAGCCATCAAAATGGGCTGCATCAGACCTCAGAACCCCAGTCAAAACAAAAACATTCCTGTATAGGAAAAAAGCCAAAAGCCAAATAGCTGAAGACAACTATTATAGGTCATCTGGTCAAACCATTTGACCATATCTATCCAAAAAACATACTTTACGGCACATGCTATTGTTTTGTATATGCTGATAATTTTCTGCGGTACGTAATAACAACCTTTTCTTGTAAAGATTCCTTCCACTTCCTGGCGGCTAAGCTAATACCTTATTTTTATATAAAGGCAGGCCAACGACCATATGTTAACCCTGTACTAGCCACCTCTTCCTCTTTTTTTTTTCTTCATCCTCTTTTCTTTTGCTTCTTTCAGCTTTGGTTCCATGGCAACAACATCAACACCAGATTCATCTTCGGATTTAAGTATAACTGTCGAAAGCAGTCCTTCTGATTTGCGATTATCTGAACTGGGTATTAAATCATGGCCTAAGTAAGTACATATATACATAAACATGTATGCTAAACCATTTCTCTAGCTGTTCTAAATTGTTTTCCTGTTCATGATTTTTTTTTTTTTGGGGTAGATGGGGATGTCCTCCAGGGAAGTATCTGCTGAAATTTGATGCTGAAGAGACATGCTATTTGCTTAAAGGAAAGGTGAAGGTGTATCCAAAAGGGTCATCTGAATATGTAGAATTTGGTGCAGGTGATCTTGTCACAATCCCTCAGGGTCTTAGTTGCACTTGGGATGTATCTGTTGCAATTGATAAACACTATAAATTTGCCTCTTCATTATCTTCATAATTCTACCATATCTTTGTAGCCATCTTATCTCTCATTTTTCTCTCTTTCTCCTTTAAATGATTCATCAAAGATAAATATTTATATTCTTTTTATCAAAAATTTTTTTTAATAACCCAACTCTTTAAGCAGGCGATACGTCTATTACTATTATTATTATTAGAATAAACATTCAGGTGCTAAGGATTAATATATATATATATATATATATATATTGTGAGTACAAAGGAATAAGATGCCCTACCAACTAACGGTTTAAATATATAATTGAGTGGCTTTTAATATGTTTAATCTAATGATCTAAAGTTCAATTGGGTATTAAATTCTACTTAGTTTCATGCAATCTAATATATGAAGAATTTTAGAAGTTTTCAATGTATGACATGTGATGTATCAATATGGTTTAAGCAACAAAATTAAAGCTACCCATTACCCAATTGGCCCTAACGGAAAGAGATCTCTTATTCAGATTTTGATTGTGAGGTAATAACGTAGTAGAAGCAACAAATTTAAAGCTACGAACTGATATGGCTTATTCTAATTGATAAATACAATTATTTTTAATAAATGATTTAATTTTTAAGAATATAACCAAATTTGCAAATCAATATTTGAAAGCGTACCATCAAGAGCAGAAACAACAACAAACTCTAGTGGTCAGGTCAAGCTATAGGTGGAAGATAATATAAGTAGATAAAATAATCTCATAATATGATAAAATATGAATAAAAAATATAAAAATAATATAATTTAAAATTTTAATAAAAATTATAAATAAATTTAATAAAATTTTTAAAAATATTTTATATTTTCATATTAATATAAATTATGAGATATTATTTTTATGTAAAATATAATATAAATATATGAATTATTAATGTAAAATAACTTTGATGGGCTTTAGATAAAGGGAAAGGGATAGGCGGTATAGGAGCTATAGCCAAAAACAACGGAGCTACAGCCAAAACCAATATTGGAAAGGTTTTTGGTGTAATTGTTACAGTTGAGATTTAAATTTTGAACTCGCGTGATTTTGAAATTCAGGCATCTATTTATTCAGTATTTCAGATTAATTTAATCATCATAATTTATATTTTTATGAGGTATTATTCGCTCTAATTTTTTTAATTTTTTATTATGTTCGATGTGTGATTCAGGATTCTAGGTCCTTAACATTTTCTCTCACTCAATCTCGTGACGTCTTCGTCAGGAAAACTAGTTACTTTACTTACCTCTCTCGAGGTGCTTGGGGTGGATCGAATGGTTTAGGGCTGATTCTGATATCACTTGTCACGGACCGAGATTTAAGCTCTAAATTCGTGCGGCTTCGAGATCTTGGCATCTACTCATTCGATGTTTTAGATCAACCTAATCGTCACGATTCACACTCTTATGAGATATTGTTCGTTCTGATTTCCTTGATTTCATGATTTTATCCTACAAAAGATATCTCACAAGAAAGAGATGATATAAATCTTTTTATATTACAGTAACTCTCTTATTATATTTAATATGAGATTCAAAACTTTTCTTTAGGTCCGTAACATAACGACTAAAACAGTAAAAGGGATTAAGGATTCGGCAAAAATTGAGGTCATGGCAACAGCCAAAGCCATAGACTTTGCTGCTGATACGGGCTTTCACAAGATTTCCTTAGAAGGAGATGCATTAGGGATCATCAATGAAGTACTTTTCCATTAAGGTACTTTTAATTTTATGATATAAAATGATTCCATCATCTGGTTTTCTTTTCCTTTAATTGGATATGCATTTGCAAATGGGAAAATTGGAATAATTCTCATAACACTCAGAGATAGTAAGAATTATTGAGCTAGTTGGGTTTTTTTTTTTTTTTTTTTTGTTATGATTTTAATGGATATAAATTTATTTTCCTAAATTTTTTTACATTATTTATGTTATAAAATTAATTTCTCTCAATAAATATATTTATTAATTTATTAATTTAATTCTATTTCATTATAAGATAAATAAAGTATTATTAACATTTTACAAATTATTATTTTTAAATATTATTTATATAATTATTTTGATACATTCAATAAAATATTACTTAATTTTTAATCATTTCAAATAAAATAATTTTAAATCATGAATAATAAGAATAATTATTTAAATAATCATTATCATATAATAATTTTTAAAATAATATCCACTACTTTTTAGATTTAATATAAGTAATGGATAAAATTTTTTGAGAAAAAAATTAATAAAATTTTTTGTGTGCTACAAACAAATTTGTTTAAGAGTCCAATTATTTATTTAGATTTAAAAATTAAAATCCATTAAATCATTTTAGATATAATTTTTAAATTCATTTAAATTTTGATAAAATTTTAAATAAAAAATTAAAATAAATAATTAAAATATTATAATTATATAATATAATATATAATTTTGACATGATATTGATGCGATCTTATTTAATAAAATATATAATTAAAATATTATAATTATATAAATAGTGATTTTTAAAAAAAATAAAATTTTGTATTATATAAATTAAATTTAATGAATAAATTTATAATTTAATTAATTAAATTTATAAAAAAATTTAAAATTTAAATATTAAATCGAATCAAATTTAATAAAATATATAAATTATTACCATCAAATATCCCACGACCCGATCTCAAACAAATCTACGAACTACTCTAGCTGTATGCCTCGAATGTGTAGGCTCCTCCCTACACTTTTGAGAATAAAAAAATTAACTAAATTTTTTCTTCTGAAAGAAAGAAAAAAAAAAGTTATAGGGTAAATTAGACAAAAGTAAAATAAGAAGGCAGCCTCCATTGGAACTGGACCAAGAAAGAGGCAGGGCAGCAAGCGACGGCAGAGTTTCCGCTTCTCATTGCAAAAAGCTCCAAAGAAAAATGGAAGAAGCAGAGATGGTAACGCCAGGAGAAGTGTTGGGAAGAGCCATTGAGCTTAAAGCAGGGAAAGGAGCCTACGTTGAGCCTCACAACAAGACCATCTATGCTTCCCTTACTGGCTTCCGCCGTATCCTATCCCCTCCTCCTGACTCTCCTGACCAGGTTTTCTTTGCTGTTTCTATCTGGGTTTTTTACCTTACATCAATTTAACCCACAAAGTTCTTTTCTTTTATTTTTTTTGTTATTTTCCTATTTATTTATCAATATAAAGTCTGGGTTTTAAGCTTCCTAAGGATTTAATCCACCATTATTTTTCCTTGTTTGGTGATATGTTAATTCTCAACATCAGTTGTGCGGTTTTAGCCTAGATTATTTTGAACCAATTTTACCAATTGTTTTAATTATGCTATTGTTGCAAATAAAGTTTGGGTTTTTACCTTTGTTGAGTTTTATCATAGGCAAATTTATCTTTTTTTTTTTTTTTTTTCTCCTTCGGGTGGATTTTCTTGTATGTTTAGGTAGTTATAAACCATTGTAGAAATAATTTTCTTTTGGAATCACATTTTTAGGCTTTTAGTTGAATTAGTGCTTTGATAATTAAAAGTCATATCGTATAATGTGTTAGCATTCTGCATTGTTATTGATAATGCTGTTCATAATCATTTATAGAGGCCAACTGTGGAAATAACTGGTCACAAAGCCCATGGTCCTGTTCCAGAGCCTGGTTCTGTTGTCATTGCCCGAGTAAGTTTTACATTTTTTAAAACAGTTTTGCCTACACTAATATTGTTGCACTCTATGTTTCTTGTGCTTCTCTATATGTTACTCAAGAACTATATTAATTATCTTAAGTGTTATTTTCTTTGTGATATCAAAATCTGATTTTTATTTGAATCATAGGTTACTAAGGTGATGGCTAGGACAGCATCAGCTGATATTATGTGTGTTGGTCCAAAGTCTGTCAGAGAAAAATTCACCGGTATAATTAGGTATTTAATGTTCTTTTTCTATATTAGGAGTAGGGCTGAATTTTCTTATTTGAAAATGATGCGATCCTTTTGTGTTTAGTTATCGATTTCAATCACTTGGTAATTCGTATTTCCAAAAAGGATTGTTAAATGTTAACCATCCAGTCTATCCTTGATGTATTTGTAACCCCAAAACTATATATACCTTCTATCCTCTCTTTCCAACGTAATACAAGTGTGTTCTTCCTTTCAAAACTGCATGCTTTACTTTTGACAACAGCATGCTGTAATCTTGAGGCTGCATACCAATTTGTTCTCAAGATATTCATCATTTCCTTGCAGCACATGATTCATGTATGAAATGCCATGTTTGATATCTAGGCATTCCATACAGCCAAGTATGCAGACTTAAATTGGTTGATGAAATTATCCCTCAAAGTTTAGCCTATCCTCCCTCCATCTTTTTTTCTTTGATATGGATATAATGGGCAGTTGATAGTGCTACAGTCTATTATAAGTTTAAAACATGTCATTTGCCCATCTCTTGTAAGTTGCTTGAGTCCATGAGAATTTCAAATGTTTGATATATTTATATACTTCTGGTTCTGGCTAGATTTTTCAAAAGGTATGTATTTACTGAAAGAGTGTTTATTTTAACAGGCAACAGGATGTTAGAGCAACTGAAATTGACAAAGTGGATATGCACTTGTCATTTCGTCCTGGTGATATTGTCAGAGCTGTGGTGGTATCCTTTATGTTTAGCATTGTCTTATTCATAAATCTTAACCTTATAGCATTGTCTTGTTCATAAATCTTAACCTTCTATCAAGTCAGTTGGAAATTAGAATTGTGTTGCCATTTATATTGTTTTGTTATGCAAAAGTTTTCCTCAACACAGTTCCTTTATTAAGCTGTCTCTTGGAGATGCACGGGCTTACTACCTATCAACTGCTAAGAATGAACTGGGTGTTGTGTCTGCCGAGAGCTCAGCTGGTTAGATTGGTTTTTTTTTTTTTTTTTTAAACTTTGGCAAATCTTTTAAATTGGTCTGAAACAGAAGCTGGATATTTCATGGTAGTCCTATTGGCTTTTTAGTGTACATCTCCACTATTATGTGTTCAACAACGCCTCAGCTTCCATTTTTGTTGTCTATTATAGGCGCAGCAATGGTTCCAATAAGTTGGACGGAAATGCAGTGCCCATTGACTGGCCAAATCGAGCAAAGGAAGGTTGCAAAGGTTGGAAGTTAACCAACTGATACCAAACTAAGCTAGTAGCAGCCTCATATGTACCAATTATTTAAGTTTTGCCTTTGAGAAGTTGTATTGTGGAACTTGATTATAGGCAATTATGTATCACAAACACTGCCCTCATTTTTTTTTTCCTCAAATTCTAAAAGTTTAGGGGGGGACGGGGAGTGGGGAAATGGGGCAATTTCACAGGCTTTTTTAGTTAGAATCGTTCTCTTGAAAGCTTTAACTTTCTCTTTCCATGCTGTAAACTATATACTGGTTGAGAATTTGAAATATGTTTTGTTTGTTTCAGTTATTCTTTTTAAAAGTGTTTTTGGAATAGATGTCCGTTTTTTTTTTTTTTAACAAAAGAGGCCGCACACCATCGATAAGGAAAGGATAAGGGATGAGATTTGAACATCAAATATTATTTGCATATCATCTTTTAAAGGTGATTATACAATATGATTATATGAACTGTCTGATTTAAGCTTACGTACCATATCAACGCGAGGGATATATGTTTTTTTCATCCATTAAATTTATCATCTTTTCAAAATTTGGAATGAGAATTTTAGGAGGAAACTTTCCAATAATAGCAAGACTCAATTGTCATATTCAATGAAGCCTTTTTACCTTTACGTTTCCAGTAGGGAATAAGAATCCCATTTTGTATTTCAATTATTGAATTATTAAAAAAAAAAAAGGAAAAGGAAATATATGGATAACCTTTTGAATTGCAGATTATCCCAAAATATCAGTTGTAGGACCTCGATCTGCTTAAATGCCCAACCATATCCACAAGAAAACTTCAAAAAAAAAAATAATAATAAAAGCAAAAGCTATAAATTAAAGTTCAAGTAGCTAACTTCCAAAAATCCTAACAGCTTCTGGCACTGAACAACTCAACTTTAAAACATGCCTTGTTCTTCTTCTTCTTCGTTTCTACTTCTTCTTCAACCTCTCACCTTTCCCTCAACTCCATCCCCCTCTCCTACCCTTCTGTTTTACCAAAATCCCATCCATAACCCTTTCAAAACTTCTCTAAGAAAGCCCTTTAATAACTCCAAAAAGCTCTACCTCTCAAAGCCTCAAACTATCCCATTTGCTCTCACAGAATCAGACTCCCCTAAATCCCTGGAACCCAACCCTCAAACCCTTCTCCAAGAAGTTTCTGTAAGCACTAATTTCAGAGTCTTTTTTTTTCCCATCTAATTTGGTTCTTTGAATTGTTTTTTTTTAACACTAGCTGTCTACTTTATTTCTTTGTGCTTTGCATGGTTGCAGGACAGCTTTGATCTTCCATCAGATTACTTTTCCCAGTTACCAACAGATCTTCGTTTGGATGTAAGATGAATCTGATGACTCTTTTGGATATAATTAACAATCTTTTTTGATGTTTTTGGTTTTATGGTTTTTTCTAAAAGCATGTAAATTGATTGTGTCTTGGTGTATTACAAATGTTTTTTTTAGTTAAATGATGCAGCTTTTGATCTATCAAATGGACCTGTGATTGATGAGGTTAGTTATCTTTACTTATTCATTAGTTGCTTAATTTCTTGAATTAATATTCTGGTTTTCAAAATTTTGTGAGATAGTGTAAAAAGAATGAATTGCAAGAAATGGGTGATGCTTTATTCCCATTTTGAGTCTCATTTTTTATGACTTCAATCATGAACCATATCAACAGCTTTTCCATATCTTGTAAATTTTTTTCCATGCTGACTACCTGCCTACTCTAACTATTGTATGGTTTTAATTTCTCTATCTCTAAGATTTGCAAATAGAATAATTTAAAGAGTTAAACTAATTTACACAATATCTTAGTTGACTGAGTTATTTAGATAGACCCTAGAGCAATAGAAGTGAATGTGCAGAAGAGGGATCAACTCCGTGGGAAGGGAAGAGTGGCAAGCTGTTGGACTTCCACCTCTTGTTAATGTCTTTGTAAAATGTTATCAAAATGTGGTGTAAAAGATTTAAAGATGAAAGAGAATGGAAAAGCAGATATGTATAAAGATTACAGGAGTCAGACTGAAAGTTAATGAAATGCTAAAATCGAAATTCAACAATTACGGTCCATGCTCTAGAACAAAGCAGCTTGCCCATGGAAGCTATAGAATACAATTATTTTAATACTGAAATTATCCATGGGGTGCAAATAGTAGGTTACTAGTTTCTGTTTGTGTTTCTGTTCATGACAGTCTTCATGTGCAGATATCTACCAATAAGTACTAAATGTAAAAATTCAGATAATTGGATACCTGAACTTATATGGGTATACCTTTTATTCTCTACCATGCTTTTGGAATTGCACCAACCATACAATTGACAATAAGCATGTTTATTTAACAATTGGCTACCAATTCTGATATCGCTAATCTATAATGGTGATAATGTTTGTGTTACTGGCAAGAATAAATTAGTGATAAGAAACTTAGCTCTTTGAACGATCTTTTCAGTGTGGTCTAGAGTTGGGAGAAACATTATTAAAACTCTCTAGAGCTTGGGAACTAGCTGATACTTCAACTTCCCATACATTGGCAAGCAAACTCCCTTTGTTGGAGAGCTCTTTGACTGACAGTGGAAAATCAGGCAAGAAAAAAGCATATGAAAATTATGCTTAAATGCATTCTAAAAACTTTTTGTTCTGAAGCTTGTTTCCACCCATTTGTTGCTTTAGCATTTGGAAGGCGTTTGGTAGCTGCTGGCAGGAGGTTCCAGGCAACGGGACAGTATGGTCAAGGAGAACTACAAAAGGTAACTCAAGTAACCTTGAAAATTTGTTGTCTGTTTTATGAACATTCAAACGTTTTCCCTAGAGATTGGAGAAATACTGAATATGTATTTTAATTCCTGATCAAGAAGCAAAGAAATAGCGCAAAGTCTCATCCCCATCTTGGGTTATTTCCATGTCAAAAAGTATTCTTGAGATTTTTTCCCCCAATGAAACATTCATTATAATTGTTTTAGCATTATGTCATAAAATATGAAAAACTTCACATTGAACCATTGTAGATTGCGAAAGCAATGAATGCAGCTGGAAGACTTCTGTCTGCAAGTTCAGTATCTGCGACAACTGATGAACAACCAAAAATGGAAACTAGGACGTTTAAGGTAGATAACATTTTTTCACCTTTTCGAGGATGTACCTTCAATCAAGTGCACCTAGAATAACTACCCAAATGGTTTTTTTTTTTTTTTTGCAATTTCAGTTTGGAGAACTTCAGGTTGAGGTAACATCTGAGAAAGCTAACATTGGAGCTGCAATAGGTTTTGTTTTCGGGTAAATATCTCATTTACACTGAGAGCTCTCTCTTCTACCTTTATTTATGAAACAAATCCTAAAATAATGTATATAACAGCTCTTAATCTTAAAAATGCAGGATTCTTTCATGGCAAATAGCTCAGGGCATACAAAGCATTCCAGAGAGTTCATTAGAATATGCAAATGACAATGCTCTGCTTCTAGCTAAGGTGTTGAAAATTGTGTCTCAGATTCCATTGGAACTTGTTCTTTGTCATAACTGTTAGCCCATTGCTGGATACTAAAACTTTAAACTTTATGATGCAGTCTCTAAGGGGAGCGCTACTTGTTCTTTTCTATTCATCCACAATCTTGTCAGTTTCAACCACAATAGGACTTGTCTTACTCGGAAGACAACTAAAGTCCGCGGGGAAATGATTGTCTTGGAGCTTTCTTGCCTCAATTTTGCTTGTAAATTGGCTAGACTCGAATCAATTTAGACAACTATGACCTGGAGCTTCCACTAGCAAGGGTGGCATGAAGGATCAGGAAGGCTGCTATCTGGGTGTGACTTCAGAAACGACAAAAATTTTGTTTTGTCCTGTAGTTAACAGATCCCGACTTGTTTCGGATTAAGAATTAGTTGAGTTGTGCTCAGTTTAGTTATCTGGTTCTCTCTTTTGGTTCTTTTTAACAAGAGAAGATTTGATTATTCATCTGAATGGAAAGGTTATTTCTTATGTTCCCTTTTTAGACATGAGGAAAACCAATCAGCTGAGTTGCTGTAACTGAATATTACAAAATGATACTGATTATGTACAAGTTATACACTTCGATGTTTAGGGAAAAACTCCACTCTGATTTATATTATTAAAAAAATTAAGATTCTTCAACTCATGAATCGTGATGAAGCTGTTCATATCAAGGTAATTATCATCAGTAATGCTCTTATCACTCTTGGTTTTAGGCAACTTAGAAGAAGCATTGGTTGTCAGTTTCCTATTTCTGTTACAATTTTGTTAAATAACCCCATTTTGTGGCGACTTGTCAATGCATTGAAATCTGTGAGCTTATGCAAATGGTTTAATTGTTATATAATTTAGATTCTTCAGTTTGTGAAGAGGCCATCCTTCTCTGTGACTGAAGCTATAGGACCACCAAAATGCTGTCACAATCTGGTGAGGCATAACAATGGTTTTATGCGAACCTTCTTGCTTAATCAATTGAGGTCATGACATCAATTGTGACATAAATTGTGCTTTAAAAAACTCCATTGAAACAATATAAGATCAGTGACTTCAAGTTCACTGAGAAGCCATGCCCTTAGCTTGTTCTTTCAGTCCACTGGATTAAATTAATCACCAAAGGTTGCATTGCATCTATATCTATAATTTTCACTGTTATATAAATGAATCTTCAATTCAATATGATAGCTCCCTATCGCTTTCACTGAAATAAAACAAAATATAGTGTTTCACTTGACCCTGGCAACTTGAATGATTTGCTGCCTCACAAATTAAATAAATGATAAACAAATAAATAAATAAATAAACATTAAATTAAAAAAAAAAGAGTTAATATTTTATTAACAACCGTTTTCAATAAAATTTTAAAATTTTAAATTTAAATTATTAAAATTCAATTCTTGATAATATTAAATACTAATCAATAAATAATATATTGATTCATACTTTCCTTTGACTGGATTGTTAGATTAATGGTCCCGAAATTAATAAATTTGGCAAAAATTATACATTAAATTATATTTTAGAAACTATATATTTTGCTCATCAATATTAAAATAATCATAATTAATTAGGGTAATTTTTCAACCATTGTTGGTTAACTAAATTCTTCACCGACTAATTTTGCATATAAAAAAAGTTGCTATAAAAAGTTTTGAACCAATTTCTTATAGAGCCACCCCATCATGTTCATCAATCGCCGTAGTTTGATTGTAAACAATTACTTTGTTTAATTAATTCATCAATATTAAATTAATCTATACACTTGGAATTATATAAATCTGTACACTCAGTACAAATCAAGATCAATCAAAGAATTCTGTATTTTTTTAAAATTAAGTTTTAGCTGATGATTATATTTTTTGAATTAATATATAATCTTTCTTTATTTGATCATATTCGATAATGTATTTTTAAGATAAAAGTTATTTAGGCATATAATAATATTTAATCATACTTGTATATTTTAAATCCCTTTTAAAATATGAACCTATTAATAAAAAAATAAAATTAATTATTTAAATTATAGTATAATAATTGAAAAAGTTTAACAATTTATTTGAATGCAAAGCATCAAAATTTTATTTGAATATAATAAAAATAAAAAAATTTATTTAAATGAAATGATAAAATTAAAAAATATATATTATTTTAACCGATTTATAATGAAAGGAGTCTGCAAAATGATTAACTTTTTATATACATAACCATTTTGGAATTGCTTTCAATAATGATATCTGTAATGAATTAAATTTTGCTTTCATCACAACCAATAGAACTTCAAAATCAACCATAAGTTAAAGCCAAATTCGAGTCAGCAATCAAAAACAGTAATTAATCAAATAAAATTATCATCTCAAATCAAAATTTTCGGATTTCTTTAAGTTCGGATGACGAATCTTTAGAGTTTAGATTATCAACTTAAATGAAAGATACAATTAAGAGAAATGCTAACAGAAGAGGAGGTTAGGGTTCTTGAAATGGAAAATTGGCCATGTCCTCAGAGGTTAGGCTGGTTAATTTTTCCATGAGAGCAGCTAGCTCCTCCCACTTGGCCGGTGAGTAAATTCTTTGTCTCTCGCTTATTCTTTCCACTAAAATATCACAGAATATTTCAACATTATCGCATCATCAGCTGGTTGCTGTACAAATTGGAACCACTCGACTCTCATTTCATTTCCTTCAGATATACACTTGTTTAAAAAATACGGTCAATACATAAAACATACCATGCAAATTTATTTATGCACATTAAATCAAATACGTTTTTACTTATATTAACTGCACTAATTAAATAGAATTGAACCTTGAATTCCACGATATTTTTAGTACAATATTATTGAATTATTATATCATTAATTGAATTTAAATATCAATTTTAATAAAATTTATTAAATATAAATTTTTTAATAATTTTTTTTAATCACAATTTTAATAATTTTTTCAAACATAATTACTATAATTTTATTATTGTTTTTAATTTCACATAAACAATCTCACTATATCCTTACTATATCTATATAAGATCAAAGTCAAACTTTTTATTTTTTTAATTATCTGAACAAATTATAGTTATATACTTTGAAACATTTGTAATATTTTTACTTTTTACATAAAAAAATATCATATAATATTATATAATATATAAAAAATAAAAAAATTAGGTCAAAATTGGTGAAGTAATTGTTATAGTAAATCATTTTTTTAGTTTGCGAAATGAAGGAATAACAAAATTTGTCGTTGTCTCTAACGTCAACCATTCCTTTCACTCTCTCTACATAATCACCCCTTCGCTTCCCTCTCTGTTTCCATCCCTGTTTTCCTCTTAATTTCCACCATGGATTCCCTCAGTTGCGCAGCCTCCGACCTCGTCCCCCTCCTCTCCTCCTCCAACAATGCAACAGCCCTCGCCTCCTTCCTTTGCACCCGTTTTTCAACCATCTCCAACCAACTCTCAGACACCACTCACGCCATAGACAACACTTTTCTCCTCTTCTCCGCCTACCTAGTCTTCGCCATGCAACTGGGCTTTGCCATGCTCTGTGCTGGATCAGTCAGAGCTAAGAACACCATGAACATCATGTTGACTAACGTCCTTGACGCAGCAGCCGGTGCTCTGTCTTATTACCTCTTTGGTTTTGCCTTTGCCTTTGGTACCCCTTCTAATGGTTTCGTTGGTCGCCACTTCTTTGGGCTTAAATCTTACCCTTCACCTTCCAGTGATTATAGTTTTTTTCTTTATCAATGGGCTTTTGCCATAGCTGCTGCTGGGATTACTAGTGGCTCCATAGCCGAACGAACCCAATTCGTAGCTTACCTTATTTACTCTTCCTTTTTAACCGGCTTTGTTTACCCAATCGTTTCACATTGGTTTTGGTCTGGATATGGGTGGGCCAGCGCCACCCGATCGGATAACCTTTTATTCGGGTCGGGTGTGATTGACTTTGCTGGTTCAGGTGTCGTTCACATGGTTGGTGGCATCGCCGGTTTATGGGGTGCGTTGATCGAGGGCCCAAGAATCGGCAGGTTTGATCGGGCAGGTCGGTCTGTGGCGTTACGTGGGCATAGTGCCTCGTTAGTAGTGCTCGGGTCGTTTCTTCTGTGGTTCGGGTGGTACGGATTTAACCCGGGGTCCTTTTTGACCATCATGAAAGGGTATGGTAGTGGTGGGGGTTATTATGGACAATGGAGCGCAATCGGTAGGACAGCTGTCACAACAACATTGGCTGGGTGCACAGCTGCTCTTACTACCTTGTTCAGCAAGAGACTATTAGTTGGTCATTGGAACGTAATTGACGTTTGTAATGGTTTGTTAGGAGGCTTTGCTGCAATCACCTCAGGGTGTTCAGTGGTAGAACCATGGGCTGCAATCATATGTGGCTTCGTAGCAGCATGGGTTCTAATTGGATTCAACATGCTTGCATCCAAACTCAAATATGATGACCCACTAGAGGCAGCCCAATTACATGGGGGCTGCGGCGCGTGGGGTTTACTCTTCACGGGATTGTTCGCCACCAAGGCATACGTTAACGAGGTCTATCCAGGGCGGCCGGGAAGGCCATACGGGTTATTCATGGGTGGCGGAGGGAAGCTATTTGCGGCTCAGATCATTCAGATTTTGGTCATAACAGGATGGGTCACGGCCACAATGGGGCCACTCTTTTATGTGCTGCATAAGATGAAGTTGTTAAGGATTTCTAGAGAAGATGAAACTGCTGGGATGGACTTCACAAGGCATGGGGGATTTGCTTATGTGTATCATGATGAAGAGGATCTTTCACTGAGGCCAGGATTCATGATGACAAAAATCGGACCTACAAATGTAAGTCCCTCATCACAGGGTGAAAAATCACCCTCAAATGTATGATAAGTTTGTGTTTTGTCCTTGTAATAGTAAACCTTAGTGTGTGCTCGGTAAAAGTATGTAAAATAATTACTCGACTTAAATACTGACTTTTTTTCTTGGAAATGAAATATCATTAAGTACTAAAGTCATGGACATTTTGATTAACTTGATTTGCAGAAACCAAAGTTTGGTTTCATAAACATAACCTGCCTAGTCCTAGACTATGCTATTAAAGTGGGAAACGGCTTTGGCAAAGGTCTGAAAGGTTTGTTCTTTCTCCAATACTTGTTTATTCACTTTGGTTGTTATTGAATCCAAAACTTCGAATTCCATCTCATTGATTATATATATATATAGATTTGGATCATTAAGTTCTTTAGAGAGCAAAGACAAACAAAGAAAAAAAAAAGTTTCATAGACAGCCTTGAACGTAAGTTCCAATGGTAAGAGAGTTTGTTTGTTTTTTTTTTTTTTTTTTTAAATTATTTCGAGTTTGAATCAATTAAAAGATAATAAGCAGATAAATTTTTTTATAAATTTATTAAAATCAGTTTAAATAAACCTGTAAGAATCCGCTCGAAAAAGGGATGCACTTAAAAATCCTTAATTGCTAAAAAAAAGGGGAGAAATGGCAAGACAAACGTTGTTACATAAGGCCATCCACAACTAATTCCTTATTCATAGAGGATAGGGAGAATCGATGCTTGATTTGGCCAACTTGGTTGTTTATGATAACCCAACATATGAAGCTAGTGACTAAAAGGTTTAAACAGCCATAACCAAGCTGGACTTTTTATTTAATCTTTTTTGATAATTAAGTTCAAGGGAAGTGATTTGGATTAATCTATATTGTAAACAACTATTTCATATGAAAAATTGGATGTTGTGTCAAAGTAATTTGAATCGATTTTCGATTTTATTCGTATCTAATCAAACATTTTAATTGAATGTATCCGGTTGTTTTTATATCGGATCATTTTAAATTTTAATTACATTTTACTTTCATTTTCATTTATTATTATTATTTTTTCTCTTTTTCTTTTCTTTGTTCTGTTTTTCTTATTCCTTCCCCGAAGCCACAGTGCATTAAATGCACTGAATTCCAGCCACATCTCAGCCTCCCTGCCAGCCTTCTTGCCGGACTTTTGCATCTGAGATTTCGACAACAAAGTCAACATGCCCCAAAAGTCTACAATAATCCTAAAAAATCTGAGGCGATTTTGATTCCCAAATTAATTCTATAAATAGAGTCTTTCAATTCACAGAAGAGGACATGGACAGAGGATTTGATGGAGGCGAGGAACAATTAAGAGTCCTACTACCATTCTACCAAAAACACATAGCACAGAGAGCAAATTTTTTAGACAGAGAAGATTTTGACAAAAATCCTCACGACCATTCTGCCAAAATTCGCCCAAGATCACACACAAAAAAACAAAAACAAAAAAATAAAAAGTTTCAACATCCACATCCTTGGAACCAGCAGCAACAAAAAAAAAATTTAAGCCGAAAACCTTGATCCAGGAGATTTAAGATTCTTTTTAAAGAAAACTATTTGAAGAATAGTGTTCCGGGGATTGAGAGGTATGTTTTGAGAATTTTTAAAATTTTTTGAAATGGTCGGAATTTGAAATTATTTTTAATTTTTCGATTATCGAATTTTAGAAAATTCATTAGATTCTAGGAAATTGGTTAAAATAAAAAATAAAAAATAAATAGTAACTTTTAACCCAAAATAAAAAGTAATTAAATCAAAACAAAATAACAATTATCAAGGAAAATGAAAGAGTTCTATTTTTCTTTAATTTTATAAGTAAAAATATTTTTTAAATTTTGTTAAAGTGTTAGGATAATTCAAAAAAATTATTTTTGCTAAAAAAAATGCTACAAATAATAAACTTGTTAAAATAATTGATTGTTGAAATAAATCTTTTAAAATGTAATCTTTAAAGAAAATTAAAAGAGTTTAATTTTCTTTAATTATTACAAGTAAAAATATTTTTTAAAATTTCATCAAAGAGTTGTGATAATTTAAAAATTATTTTTATGAAATAAAGGTTTATTTAAATAATAAAACAGAAATAAATGAAAACAATGATAAAAAAATGACAAAAGAAAACTAATGACAAAATAATAACAAAAAATTAATTAAATATTTAATTTGATTAAATCTCTAAAGTAATAATTTTAAGAAAAATTGAAAGAGTCTTATTTTTCTTAATTGTTACCAAGAGAAATGGCTTTTGGATTTCATTAGAGAGTTGGAATAATTATAAATTAGTTTTATAAAAACTATAATAATCTTAAAAAAATAATAAATAAAAGATTTTTCATAATTGGTGTAACTCATGCATGTCATTTTTGAATAAAAAAAAATCTTTATAATGAATTTTGTGAATTTTATGAATGCTTAATTTTTTTGAAAATTTTTTAAATAAAGATATTTTATATCTAATTTCGCTAAAATATTGAATAATTTATAGAATATAAAAATAATAATAATTTCACAAAAAAATCTTTTTTCATAAATAAATTTTTAAGAAAGTAATTTTAAATATTAAAAGATTGTATTATCAAAATTAAAAGATAATATATATTTAATTAGTATCGTTCTTTAAATAAACAATGTAAACGTTAATATTTTTTTTACTTATAACTGTATTTTCGAATTAAATTTTGATTTCACAAATTAAAATATTTTTTAATAAATCTTAATTAATTTTGAGATTTTTTATTAAAGATGATATTTTAAGTGATTAATTATATCTAATAAAAAAATATTGATGATAATTTTATAATTTTCATCAAATTTAAAAATCGAGTCTTCAGAAAAAAAAAAAAAAAAACCTTGCGGCATATATCTCTTGAAATTACTGATAGTCAAACTTTAAACTAATGACTTGTTTATTGTGCTAATAATTAATTCCAGTTCAAATATTTAGGCAACTTTCCTCTGATCTTTATTGTCAAAAGTCCCTTGTATGTATTTAGTTGATTTAATGTCCCTATTCTCTGCTCTCACTCACTACCTTTCTTCATGGAACATTTTTTTTCCTTTCTTTTTGGCTTACAGGATTCTGCTACACCCCACGAATCTGAGGCATTTAAAGTCACTAACCTCTGCCCATGATGCCAACTATACGTAGAGATCATTGCTTGCCAAAGAATTTATTCCGAAGCCAACAAAAATGATGGTGCCAATTTATTTTGGTATAAAAAAAAGCCACGGCTTGAAAATAAGAGAAAAAAAAATTTGTAAGTATTAAAATTCGAATTTTAAATTTATTGAATGTTATTTTTTAAAAATTATTATATAAATCAATTAAGTTAAATTTTAAATTTAATAATAATTATTTTTGTTTAATATTTTTTCAATAAAACCAATTTCCTCTTATTGTTGTTTCTTATTGTCTTGCACATTTTCTTGCTCTCCCATAATTTTTATTAATTTCACCCGGCAAGATCTAATGATTATTGATGTTGAATGATCAATTTTTTGTCCCTTTGTTCTTTACAGGTTAGTTTGATAGGAGCTCTATTGATGGAAAGTGGCCGGAGGAATGATCATGGTTGGGATAGAAATCTCAAGTTCCGGCCAGTCCAACCCCTCAAAATTCGATAGCTGAGCCGATCCAACTTTATAATTACTGAAAAATCAATGACTTTAACTCGAAATGAGTTCAATTCAAACCCGTAATAATCCGAATACTGCGGCCTCTTTTGGGAAAAAAAATGGACCACAAAAAGACCTGTAGTTTGTCACTGCTAAGTAGTCAGAAGCTGGAGCACGACTAGATCAACAGTTAGCTCTTGAGTGATAGAATTTATAAGGTTGTAAATAATTTCACAAAGAAAAATCTTTGAATTTGAGTTTCTCCCCACAAAACAAAAAAATGTCCTAATAAAAATGGTTCTATGGACTGAATCGGAGATTCATTTGTGCTCCAAAATTTGTTGTTTTTTTTTTTTTTTTCTCTTGTCCAGTGGAGAGAGTTGAGTGGCTCAAAGTGCTGCAATGCAATTTGTGACCCAACTTTCTTTGTCCCTGTTCTGTTTTTTTTTTTTTTTTTTTGTGTGTGTAGAAGAAAAGGTTTGTGTGATTGTTAAGCTTGCCTCTATGTCCATAAAAGATGTTGATGATGACCTTGAGAGTTGAGAACCCTAACAAGGAAAAAAAAAAAAAAGGAGGTAAACAGTGATGGTAAATTGCAGAATTTGTTATGAACCAGGAATTGTGTTGTCACGTTACAGGTTGTGTCAATTGTAACAATCCTTTTTCATTTTTTTCTCTATGGTTGAAACTTTTTATCTTGTCTGGATTGTCAGCTCGTCCAAGTGTGATAACAGTAATCGTCAAAGTTCTCAGCTATATCAACATGTCACTGGAAAATCCAATTTGTTGTTGTTCGGGATTTGAAGCCTCTTAGGCTATCATGATCTTCATTATAAATGGTATTCACTATAAATGGTATAGGCTGGTAAATAAGGCCTGCTATTTTTATTTAATAAATACAACTGTATAATGTTTTGAAATTAAACATAACTTATTTATGAAAATACATGTTTTCAATAGCCACGTGTTTGTTTTTAGATTTTAATTTTTAGTTTTAGTGATTAAAATTCAAATTTTCAAGTTTACAAAAAAGAAAAAAATACATGTTTCAAAAACACTAAATTAAGCTTCGGACATGAAACAATTTGTCAGACAAGCTAGGTGGTAAGAATCCTTTGAAGTAGTTACTATGACATCGACAAATGTCCTAGGATAGTTCCCTCACTCTCCCAAATCTATGGCACATAAATCGTTTTTCTTTTACTTTTACCATAATTATCAACCATCCGAATTCCGACTTTGTTTTCAATGGAAATTCTCACACAAATCTTCAAATTTGTTTACTATTAGTCAGTGTTTTGTTCTTTTTTCTCAGGAAAATCAGTTGCCATATTGATCACACGTGATGGAACATTTCAGTTTCTGTACAACTTTTCTCCATCACCCTCTACTCCAAATATTATCAGCATCCCAGTGTCATTGTCTGAGATCAACAACACTTGGATTTTCGATGATTACCTATCTACGATCTTATTTGAGAGCTTTGGATTTGGCAAAAATGGTCATATAGAAATTTCAGTAAGAAATGTTACATGGACACCGAGACATCAAAACATGCAATTCAACCCTTCTTACAAGGCATTTTTCATTGCTAATGTCCCTTCACTTCGAAACATTTGGAATGAAT